CCACACACTGCTATTCAAGCCCAGATGGGGGCCCTTCTGTGGCTCATTGGGCTACTGCCACACTGCTCTGAATTTATTTGATGTTTCCTGCAGTTCAAAACGTTCCAGCTATTCCTTTCCCCAGGAAGGGAGTCAATATCCGAGCCACAGTCCGATCTTGGAAAAAATGCCCAGTAGACAGAGAATGGCTAATAAAGGGAGTGGAATATTGTTAGAAACAGGCAAGTTAGGAAATTCAAAACTGCAGGAAGCAGTGGAGACATTTTCCTGTGTGAATGACCGCGGAGGAAATAATGCATTTGATGGCTTCACTCTGTATCTTTGCAAGCTGCTTTAAGAATCTTTTGCTTGGTTGAAAAGCAGTATGAAGATAATAAAATGAATTGTATAAGAGAGTAATTCTATGGTCCCACAGTGGGCATCCCAGGGGCTGTAGAATGGCTTGGAACTGCCCTTCCAAAGGCACAGATAGAGCTCCAGCCTTGCTGGGAGGGGAGTGGCAGTCCAGGACATGGAGAGAACTGCACCAGCTGCCACTCCAAGGTCAGACAGCCCAGGAAAGGGCAAGTTCTTGCAGGTAGGAGGGGAAGGACCAGGGAGACCCGGCTATGATTTATCCTGGAGCCTTCTCCAGTTTCCCCTCCTCCCCTCCAAGATGCCCTTGCTTGATGGGCTGCAAAGTCCATCTAGCAAAAATATAGGAGGTCAGAAGGTGAGGATGCAAAGATGGCACCAGCTGCACCATGCTTTGGATGGATGGATGGATGCAATATATGCTGTTCATCTGCTTGGGGGTACCAATATAGAAAACATGTACTTATATAAATTTCTTGATCCTGGAACATGTTTGCGGGGGTTAACAAACCGTATTTTAAAAATCTAAATAAAATGTTTACATCACCACTCATTTGTATTCATTTTAAAATGGCTTTTTGAACCTAATGACCCTGTATCCTGCTAAAGACTTCTCTAAACAGTTATATACAGCTACAGGGTCATGAGTGTACTTGGAAGTCTCCAAAGCATGCAGCCAAAGAGCTTTGGTTGGATAAAAAATTATTATTATTGTTATTATTATTATTAGAACATCTGAGAGACTAATGAGGATGTAAACCTTCTCAGCAAGTGCAGTAAACAAGGAATCCCAATTCTGAGAAAGATAATATGGTGTCCTAGTTTCCATTAATTTCCTAGTCAAAGGCCTTCAACTTTTTATCAGATTCCAACCAAGTGCAGTTGCCTATATATTGTTTATGCAGGCGTGCTCAAATTTGCATATACTCCCTTTATATATGATATACATTGTCTTTTTATTCTTTCCTTAGGTATTGAACTCCAACAGGTCACTGTGCTGGTGTTCTGCAGATATGTCTGTTATAGACTAAGAGTTAATAGTGCATATCTCTGTTGCTTTAATGACCTTATAATATTATTCTGCATGCTCTTTTTGTTGCCTTTATTTTGTTAATTTGGGGGGGGGGGTTGATGAAAAAATGGCTGTTTTGGCAGTACAAACCTACATAATGTGCAGTGGTCACTAGTGCTTGCAACCATGTGATAAGTTTGTCCCAGCACCTTTTGAGCTTCAACATATCTTCATCAGGGTAAATAATATATTATTACACTCAACTAAAATCCTGCTATACTTGCTGACAGCTCAAAATACCTTGCAGGCCTCTGTCCAGTAATTGCCAGCCCTTGCATCTAGAATGCTCTGGGCACGTCGTGAGCAAATAAATAGTCTTGCTTAGTGTCCTCACATGTTTCCCCATTGCCTGCCCGCCTCATCTCTGAGCAAATAACTCTCCAGAGAAAAAGGCATGTGAACGCCATGAAGAAAGCTCTGGATTATGCTCTTCCTAGTTTAGTTGCACAGCGATGTCTTTTGCTTCTTAGAACAACCAAGCAGCATTCATTAGAAGCAGACACTTTTTTCTCCTCATGAGATAGTGAGCTTAGCTTATTTAAATTAGTAAAATACAAGCATATCAACGATATGCTAAGGATCATGATCAATAAATTTATTTTTCGCAATCTTGTTGTATTGTTACTTGAGTTTAAAGTAAAATTTCCATTGTTGGGGCAGAAAAGAAAAAACATTGTCCTCACCAGATCAGTAGGGCTGCAGTGTAAATGGCAGTGGATGTTTTTGGACACTTGTATTTCATTTTCCTTCAGAGCACTTCAGTCTTACTCAGGAACAATCAGCTCTGTGGCAGGGATGTTATATATGTCGGGTAAGACATCTGGCTGGCATTCCATGTATACTTTGTTTTATAGGGCTGAGGTGATGAAAGAGTGCAGACTTGGTGGGGCCTGCCTCTAGAGGCCTTGCCACATTGTTCAAGATGACTCATTAGCAACAGAGCATTTCCCTAGAAATGATGCTGTCAGGTAATACAAGTATTCTAGGTTATGCAAATGACCAAAGATTTATTGTAGGTTGAAAGAAGCAGCTGCTGCAATCAGGAAGACCAAAAGATTGAAAACACTCTTCTATATTTTCCTGTCACATAAAGTGAAGGCCTTGCTTTCATCTTGATGCTTTCTCTGGTATCTGTGATTATATTAGAGGGCAAAGGCAGGTTTCAAGAAGATGGGAGCAAGACTCTGAGTAGGAATTAAGCTTGCTGAGAAGCAGAATAAGACAGGAGAATGTAGAATCAGTAATTGCAGATCCTCTTGCAGGCATGCAACTGCCGAAGATGTTTTTTGTTGCTCATTTTGTCGGGATACAGCCCACTAAGGATGAGTTTATGTGTGCTTTTCACTGCAGAAAATACTTCCATGTAAGAAAAAGCATAGCACACTCTTGTCACACGCAGCAATTGTGTATGGCTGTTTTTTGCTTTATGTACGCCTACATGCAGGCAGCAGTCTCCCACCGTTTGTTTGTTTGTTTGTCTCTTTGTTTAAATTTATAGTCCACCTTTTTCCCGGCTATATTATCCTCACAACAACCCTGTGAAGTTGGTTAGGCTGAGGGTCAGTGACTGGCCCAAAGTCACCCAGTCTCTATTTCTCACCTGTTTCTATCCGTTGGAGTTGGCACTGTCAGTTGTCAGGTTGAGGGTTGAGTCAAAAATGCCAGGGTGACTTGGCAGCCAGGTAACCATACCTGTGTCCTTTACATCAGGTGAGGATTTATACTCTCCCTGTCACAGTACCCTCTGATTAACACCTGTCCAATGTGGGTTTGTTTTTTTTTAATGATTTTGCCTAGTTTCTGGATTCAGAACCATGGTCAGCTCCTCCATAAGCAAGAGAGCTGTATGCAGCTTGCAGAAAAATAGTTTCAAGAAAAGCTTGTGTGAACTAGAGGTGGGAGGGGGAGGGTGGAAATAAGCTAGAGAACATTGTAACTCGGTGAAGCATTTAGAATTTGGCAAGGCTGGCAAGACAAGATTGCTGGATGATTTTACACAGTCTCTTTTAAAAACAATCAGAAAACAGAGAAACCAGTCTCAGACAGCATATATAAAAACATACGTCAGCACAGCATATGTTCAGTACAACTGGAGAAATTCTTATTCTGTTCCTCTAGCTTACTCCCAAGTAAGGGCACACTGGACTGCAGTTGAAGTACAGTATTGATTTCTTTGCAAGTAATATACTAATAAAATATATTTCCTATTGACAAATGAAGGCCAGACTAGATGAATTGCCATTCACGCAATTAGAAGTGATGTGCATGGATTTTTTTAAGCCAGTAGATGCATAGGGAGCCAATCTGGATTGTGACCATAGTACAAGCGTGGCTTTAACCCTTTCTTCCCCTTCTGCAGCTCCAGTCTGGATTGGAAATCCAATGGCTGTTATTTGGGATAGGGGGAAAAAATCCCCACTGTCATAAAAGGTTCCATGCGCCTTTAATGCAGTGCAGTAAAGCAAGTACTGTGCATTGTGGTTTTCTCACTGCATCTGTGGGAATCAACCCATGTCTTTGCTTGTGTCAAGGAAAATTACAAATGCAGCAAAATACCCAGTGTCTCTAATACCAAAGATACGGTTGGCATCCAAGTCCTTGCTGCCTGCCAAGTACATGCTTTTCCTTATGTTCAGGACATGCAGGGTTCCCCAGGAGTCCAAGCGTCTGAGAACAGGAGAAGAGCATTGTTCTGTGAAAAACCCACCTGGTATATTGATTATTTATGTTTAATATAGAGAATGTAAAAAATACCTTTTGATTGTCTTTCAGGCAAGGCATTCCTTCATCCCTTCTCTTCAGCTGGAAAGGCTTCCAGAGCAGCTTATGTAAGATCAGGCTTACTATCAAAAAGATGTTACATAAAAAGAAAAAAGGGATGAGGAGGGAAGAGGAAAATGAACAAATTTCCATTCACAACAGACTCAATTTCTTACAGTGATCAGCTTGAAAATGAAAAGTTTGGAGAGAAAAGAAGCTCATGAAAGCAGGTCTTTCAGTAGAGCAGATGAATGTCCCTTGGAATGGCTGCTGCTAGATGAGAATTCATGAGCAGCCCATGGAGCTGGTCAACAGGAAATAAAAAGAGGCCTCGTTTATTTGTTAATTGTCATTAAGTCAATGTGGGGGGGGGGTTATTGCACTTTTCCATTTTGAATGATCCAAAAGCTCTCATTTCCAATTGTACGTGCAAATATTAGGCAGGACTTTGTACTGGTTCCCTATCATATGAATGACGACTGAATGGAATCAGCCCACATGGTTCAAATGCTTGAAGTCCTTGCTTAAAGATCAGTGCTGGGAGTACCTGCTAAGTCTCATTTCAATAACAGAAAATGTCAGCTTGGGATTTCGCCAGGAGCTAATTAGAAGTTAAGTATCCATGTCCCATTGACTCTCAGTGGCCTCTAGAAGCCTAATTTCATTTGAAAAATCTCAATTGTATTGTCGCAAAGTGCTTATTTTAGCTGCAAGAGGATCTGTTTGTTGCGTTCTCTTTTTCTAGCTTTCTTCCCCTCATTTTTATTGTCATTACTTGCCTTTTCCCACTCTTTGGAATGCTTTTCTCTCACAGGTCATTTTTTAATAAGAATTAAAAAGTAATCAAAATCTGCAGAATGAAAAGATGGCCCAAGTGCTGCTTGCACCACCAGGACCGGATTGTTTCTTCCGATTCACGAAGGAGTCCCTCGCAGCAATTGAGAAAAGGGTTGCTGAAGAAAAGGCAAAGCAAAAGACTGAAGAGGAGCAAAAGGATGAGGACAATGAAGAAAGCAAGCCAAAGCCAAATACTGACCTGGAGGCTGGGAAGCCTTTGCCCTTCATTTATGGGGACATCCCTGCAGGAATGGTGTCGGAGCCATTGGAGGATCTGGACCATTACTATGCAAATGAAAAAGTAAGTATTGCCCGACTGGGACTTGAGCGCCTCTTTCATGGTACAGGGTCTGCTCCGAGTACTGAACAACAACCGCCTTCTTGAGCAGGCACCCTAAAAGATTGTGGATAAGGAGTTAGAAATGCAAGCCATCACTGATCAAGAAAAACCTCAACTAAGCAACTAATAATCATGGCATAATGCACTGTTTGGCTATGTTACGTATTTATCATGAATGGCATCAGGACAGGGTCAAACAATGTTAAACAACACAATTGTAGCACATTGAGATCAAGAATGTTAAGATGTCAAAAGAGCAACATTAAGGGTGTAATTTCATGCATGTTTAGACAGAAGAAAAGCCCTCATTGCTCAGCATTTCTCAGCCAGCATGCTGAGAGCTGCAGGACTTCTCTCTTTCGGAACATGCAGGGGATTGTGGGCTGACGTGGGAACTGTGGTTTGTTCTGACTGTGGTTAGTTAAAGTAAACTGGGATCAGATAGCAGCTTGGTAATGATTTATATTATCCAAAGCTCTCTGGGCATTTTATAACAATTCACAGGGATCAAACAGTCTAATCAAATAACACCCATTCTGGCCCACTTGCACTGGCTGTCTAGATGCTTCTGAGGCCAATTCAAGAGGCTGGTTTCAACCCATGAAGCCCTACATGGCTTGGGCCCATGAGACCCAGTGGAACACCTACCTGACCTTCATCTGCCCAGACACTGCGATCAACTTCTGGGGCCTGCCTCTGACTGAGACCTCCAAGAGAGGCTCAGATGGTGGGAACAAGAAGGGCTTTCCCAGTGGTGACCTCCCTGCACCAGTTATGGATCAAGCTCCCCACAGAGGCCCACAGAGGAATTAAATAAATAAAAACAGACCACAAATACAATAAAATACTGCCTAAAATGTTTCAGTACTCAAAGTTTTAAAACCATTTAAATGACTCAAACAATTTTCGACGGGAACACCTCTGCTTGAATGGAACGTGGAGCTCCATGCAGCCAGCTTCCAAGTTTGATTTAAGAGCAGTGTGGTTTAAACATTTCTTAAACTAAGCAGTTTTTCATTCAGACAGTCAGTTTAAAATTTATTATTTTTATTTTATTAAAACATTTTTATGCCGCCCCATTCGCCGAAGCTTCGGGGCGGCTTACAACAATAATGGAAGTGGATGTGTCCCATCTCCTCTTCTGTCCACACCAGAGGGTGGTGAGGAGGCAAAGAAGGAATGGCAGTTCATGCCACTCTGTGGTCCAAGCAAAGTGCAGCCACCATTACGGGGGGAAGCGCAGTTCCTGCAGAAGTGAGTGCCCCGAAGGGAATCTCTGCCCTCTTCTCTGACGCGGAGTGGGAGCAGAGGGGAAGGAGTGCGAGGCTGATGCCTGCCCTGAGTGGGAAAGCATTAGCGTTGTCGTGAGAGTTGATCTGGGTCTAAATGCAAGCCAAAGCAACGAGGCAGTTATGTTTGACCTGTGTGTTTTGTTCCCTCTTTGTAGACATTTATAGTATTGAATAAAGGGAAGACCATCTTCAGATTCAGTGCCACACCTGCCTTGTACATCTTCAGTCCTTTCAGTACTGTTAGAAGAATTTCTATAAAGATTTTGGTTCATTCATATCCTTTTTCAAGTGATGCCATTAGGAAAGTAAAGCTCTGCATTAATGAAAGTATTATGGTTTCAACATTAATGAAATTAATTAAATGAACATTAATGAAATTATACATTAATGAAATTATGGTTGCAACATCTCCAGGTTGGATTGAGAAAAACCAAAAGCCCCCCATGGACCAAGAGTGTTGAGAGTGAGAAGGATGGGTGCCCTTGGCACACATTCTCAAGCCCCTCGGCGGGACTTCAGAGGAGGAGGAGGAGGAGCAGGAGCAGGAGGGGCCTTGGGAAGTGGGCCAGTTTCAGACATTGCGGTGACAGAGGCTTGCCTCAAGGCCAGGCTCCCCAGGTACACAGGCCGCCTCTGAGAATTACTAGTCCTCAGCAATTACAGGAGGCAGCTTTGACCAGAGGAGTTTCTCAGAGACAGATGCGGCAGGGGGAACTGTAGCCCTTGACCCCATGATGCAACATCGGTGGAGGAGGGCAGCCCAATTAGAGGATCGGCATGCAGACGGGAGACATGTCTGTTTTCTGAAGGCCCTTCTGAAGGGATGAGGCCCAGGCATGCCCAGAAGGAAAGTTCCTGGAGTGAATACAAGAGTGGGTTTAACAAACCACTCTGTGCATGCTCAGAGATACTGGGTGTTTGTGCTTTTGTAAAACACTTTGGTCAATAAAGAATGTTTTGCAAGAAAGGTCTGTGCTTTGGATGTGTGATGGGAGGAACCTTGGCTCATGATAGAGAGTCTCCTGTCATCAGGAGACTTTGGCCTTCTCCTCTTTTCCCACAGCTCCCCATGTCCCCTGAAAAGCTGCTCAGGATGTTGGAGCCTGCAAGAGAAGGGGGACTGGAAAAGCCACCTCTCACTTACTGCTAGCTGGAGGATTCTGGGTAGGACTCTGCTCCGGGATGCTCCCACTGGCATAATAAACTCTGGATCCAGCCCTATATGATTAGTAGCATAGCATTAGTATCTTTTTGTGGCACCATATATTTTTCATCTTGAATTTTTAGGTGTTATTTGGATACCATTCACAAACTTGTGAAACACACATCTGGAAGCTGGGGCAGAATCCCACTGCAGCCCCACCACATCTGTTGCATCCTGCAAGCACTGTGCCCTGCCAGCTCTGCTGGAGAGGCAGGACCCACCCCACACGCAAGGGGGATTTGGTGCTTCCTATGGGAAGGCCTGAAATCAGCTCAAATACTTGCTTCTGGAAGGAGGCCAGTCAGCAGAGCTCCCTCGGGTGAGCCCGTTGACCCACCTCCTTCTGTGAACAAGCATTCCCCCTTATTGCAAGGGCTGAATCACCACTGCACAAGTGCTGGGGGCCGTTTGCTCCACAGGATTGGTGGGATGTAAGAGAATGAGCAGGGACTTCAGCATCCCATTGGATTCTGCCTTCTGTATCCTAAGAGCTTGTATGTCCTTAGGCTGCATTTCCCATAGCAACTTACCTTGAAATGCATCTCACTGAGTTCAGTGGGATGTCTTCTGGGTAAACATGCATAGAATTGTACTGCCAGAGGAGATTTCGTTCTGTCTTCCTTGACTTAATTCCAACATTATTCAGCATGTTTATTATGTTCACTATTCTGACGAATTGTGTATTCATGACCCTGAAAGAACCACCTGAATGGTCAAAGGCTGTGGAGTAAGTGCGCCATTTTTTTTCCTTCGGGGCATCATCAGCATGTGCCAGTTTCAGTGCTTGATCTGAAACTGTCTAATTTTAAAAGCTGTGCCCCAAATAAGTGTCCCTGCAGGAAGTGGCCCGGGTTCAGGCAGCATGCCAGCCCACCGTGGCTTGTCACCCAGGATGGGTTGCCATGTTTTGGAACCCCACTCACCAGATTGGATCCAGTGTTTGCACCCACCAGCAGGAATCCTCCCCCCCCCCACCCCCGTGCCCCGCAAGAACTTCCACTCATGACATTTCTTGGGATGGGTGAACTTTTAGTCTGGTCCATCCCAAAGTTTAAGACCTGTCTCTCCTTTTTTTTTTTTGCCACTTAGCCCTTCTTTTCAGGCATCAGTCTCTATCATTATGCAATGGTTCTTCAAAAAGTTTCTGCACTTTTTAAAAACTCTATTTATTAAGAATTTCAAAAACAACTTACATCACTTTCCTACATAGTCACCTTCCTTTGCAATGCATTTTTCCCAGCGTTGTACCAAATTTTTAATGCCATCAGCAAAAAATATATAAAATATATTTATAAAATATAAACGTGCAGAAACTTTTTGAAGACCCCTTCTAGATCCCTGTTCCCCTTTATCCAACTACAGAGACGGAATAGTTCTCTCTCTGTTGAGTAACCAGTGCACTGAATTTGAACTCCCTCCAAGGCTCTGATGGCATTTTAAAAAAGTTGTTCAGTCATGAAGTCATGTCTGACTCTTCGTGACCCCATGGACCAAAGCACACCAAGTCCCTCTGTCCACTACTGCCTCCTCAACTCTGCTCAAATACATGTTTGTTGCTTCGATGACATGATCCAACCACCTCATCCTCTGCCATCCCTTCTCCTTTTCCCTTCAATCCTTCCCTGCATCAGGGTCTTCTCCAGTGTGTCCTCTCTTCTCATTAGGTGGCCAAAGTATTTGAGCTATAGCTTCAGCATCTGTCCTTCCAATGAACAGTCAGGGTTGATTTAAAAAGTACTCCATTGTTACTTCTGAAAGTCTAATTTTCCCACTAGCCACTAAAGCTTTAGTAAAATTTGAGATTCCTGAAATACTGTAAATAACTAAAATTCTACAGGAAGATGACTTTCAGTATTTGCATAAAAAGATAGTACCTTTCTTTGGTAAATGTTCATTTTAACCACTGCACAGAAATAATAAGGAAAGGAGGGAGGGTGACATGGGCTTTTGAGTGTCTCTTAAAAGTGTGCAAAAATATTTTTACAGTGAACAACAATTTATGTTTCATTCCAAGCCCCATGGAATGAAAAGTTTGCTGGGTTTTTTCCTCCCTTCAGATACACATTCACTGGAATTTATACATTTGAGTCACTCATAAAGATTTTCGCAAGAGGTTTCTGTATTGGTAGTTTCACTTTTCTTCGAGATCCCTGGAATTGGCTCGATTTCCTTGTAATTTCATTTGCGTAAGTATTCAACAATTTTTGTATCCAATAATCTGAGTGTATTTTGGGGAGAAAAAAGTATGTCGTTAGGTTTACATTTTCATGATTGGCAACCCAAACTACTGATAGTATTTGTTTGTTTGTTTAAATTTTTTCTATACAGTCAACAAATGGTTGTATTTGAATGGTCATCAAACACTGCAGAGATGGTGCCTTTTAATATGAGCAAATCTTGCCTTTAGTTTAGTTGTTATTTGGTTTATAGCCAATTAATTTCTCCCATTCATGGAACAGTTTCAATCACTGGAATATGGAGGAGAAGATTCCTCTCCTCCTGGCAGCTGCATGCAAACCCTGTAGAACAGCTTCGAGAGGCCAGGGGTGCTCTAGAACAGATTGCGGGGGCTGCAGAGGAAGAAGAGAAGAAAACTTGTTGCATACGTAGAAGTCTGTTCATGCATTATTGGATTTCAGCTACTTAGTTAGTTCTTTAAGTCTAGGTGGACTCAGTTCCACTTCTGGAAACAGACATATAATTGGCATTCTTTAAACCAGATAGAGGCAAATAGACGAAACTCTGATAGACATTTGTACAACCTGGAAATTGTATCTTAAGCTATTCTGATTGGAGAGAGAAACTCTGAAATATGTTACATAAACTGCAGCAAGTATCCTTGGTCCCTGATACCCACTATAAATTTCCAGCATGATAGGTAGTGTTGAATTGTTCACCTACCCTAGCTTAATTTGGTTTGGAAAATACAAAAAGAGAGAATGGAACAGCTGCAATCCTGGCTGGACTTATTTGGGTAAATGTCTGTTGGACTTGGGATTGCACTAAATGTGAATTGAAATAACATGTTTAATTGCCAAACAAAGGATTAAAATGAAGCATTCAGGTAAGTAACATAAAGTCTTCCTCAACTCTGAATAACTGTGATTTAATTCTACAGGTATATAACAGAATTTGTAAACCTAGGCAATGTTTCAGCTCTTCGAACTTTCAGAGTATTGAGAGCTTTGAAAACTATTTCTGTAATCCCAGGTAAGAAGTGAGTGGTGTAAGGTGTTAGGTCCCTTGTACCTCCCAACTGTGCCTTTTTATCCTGTCATTGTGTTTGTGTGTGAACTCCCCTACTGCAGATATGTGACAGAGTTTGTGGACCTGGGCAATGTCTCAGCGTTGAGAACATTCAGAGTTCTCCGGGCATTGAAAACAATATCAGTCATCCCAGGTGAGAGCGAGGTTAAACACAGAGGCTGACTTTTAAATTCACCAAAGCGTGAATTGCACAGCTTTTTGAACAAGCTTTGCGCTGGCCTAGCTATGCATTGTTTACATGCAAGGAATCTAGAATTTTATTCTTTACGGAAGGGATGACTTCTTTTTACATCTTCAAAAAATCAGCCTTTGAGTTTAACATACTGTTGCATGAAAGCAAACGTAGATGGTGTATGTTGCATATTAAATTATTAAATTTTCTGTCCCATGTCGTTCTGAAAAAATAGTTCTGGCCTTCATATTTTGATAATATTTACTGATTATTAAAATAAATTGGGACTGAAAATTTCAATGTTTAGAAAGCTCTTGCAAAGTTTGTAGTTATAAGTCAAGAAGGAAATAGCATGGACACTGCATGAAGTATTACTCTGAGATACCTTTCCTCATGAAGCTTATCTTCTGGCTTGAAAGGACATGCTTTGGTTAAGTCATGAGTGGAAAGAATTATGATGGGTGCAGTTTTTTTCTTGATATGAATAGTAGATATTCTATTTCTTATTCATAATGACTATTATGAATAACCAAGCTGCTGGCTTTGGGATGGCTAGCTTGGAGATGGGGTGCTTTTCATTTCCATTTGCAGTTTCCATTTTGGACAGCTTTCCATTTGTCATGAACTAAAAGGCTTTCTCTTTTATCCCATGGCAAAAACTGCAGCTTTGACACAGAGGCGCTGACTGCATGAAACTTTTCATTTCAATAGGTACAGCCTGAATGCAATTCCACTATGCAGCACCTAAAGCAGACTCATTGATCATTTGTATCCTTCTGTCCCTTTTAGGCCTGAAGACCATTGTGGGGGCCCTCATTCAGTCCGTGAAGAAGCTCTCGGATGTCATGATCCTGACGGTGTTTTGTCTGAGTGTGTTTGCCCTCATAGGGCTCCAGCTATTCATGGGGAACCTGAGGCAAAAATGTTTGCTCTGGCCCCTAAGCAATTCGTCTTATCAAGACCCATATTTTGCAGAATACTACAATGGAACAGAACTCAACTGGTCTGAATACATTAAAAATCAAGGTTAGGTTTAACAAAAGGTTCCTCCTGGTCTGGTGAGACAGCTGGATACAAATCTGGGCACTGCCATGGATTTAGTGGAGGGGCTTGGGCAAGTCATAATAAGCAACACTTGGGAACTGAAACTGCAGTGAAAGCAGTCGCTGTGCATTCCTATAATGCCCAGTGGCTCAGCACCATCTGTCTTGTCCTTTTCAGGCCACCATACTTGGGAGCTTTTAGTACCTGCATTCCAGCAGGGGGTCTGCAGCTTGCCCCTAGAGCATCCTGACCAAGCTCAGTTCTTCACGTGCTTTCTCTGAACATGCAGGCCGCAGCAAGAAGGGGCAAGGTGGCTCCTGCAGCTGCTTGCACGTTCTTTCTGGGTTGCAGTGATCTGAGCATCAAGTAGGTGGGCACTGGTGAGGAGGAGGTGGGAGGAGAGCACTCCCAGAGGAACGCCTCTTCTGCAAAGGCTGCATGGAGTCTGGGACCAGTGCTACTTCATTGTCTTGGCACCTGGGCCCTAAATAAGAGGAGCATAGCCTGGATTTTGCATGTCCCTTTAATCCTTAAGCAGCTGGGGAGGCTGATTTTCTCCAGCTGATATGGATGCCTGAGTAATGGAATGCCTGGCATCTCATGAGCACCTCAAGAGTAACATGGAAGCCCCCATTGTAGATCAAAATGGAATGGGCCAGATCCCCAGGAAGTGCACCTGGCTACCCCTACTTCTGCTGCCTCCCTGGCCAACGTGGGCTGCTGCGATGGCTTAGCTTGCGTGCAGCTAGGACTCCAAAGCCACCAGGGGTCCTGCCCGTTTGCACGCCTGTGCCCAGAGGGTTCAGTGCTGCCGCAGTGCATGGACACAGGAGGAGCAGGAAGCCACGTGGGGTCAGGAGCAGGGCCAGAGTCATGGCCCGCTTCCTTCTCAGTATGCAGGTGCCCTTCGCGGGAGTAAAGGGTGTAGGGTGCCGTCATAAGGAGCCCTGTTTGGCTGCAGCACATTGGTACCTGTGTGATACCCATCCCATGGTCACAAATGTATTTGTTGCATGGACATTTTCCCATCTTAGATAGAAAACCTTTTACAGAGAAACCTAAAATATAATTTCTAAGGCTCTCAAGAGTGCTAGGTACAGTCAAGACAGTAATGAGAAGACCTTCAGTGCACAGCAGGGCATGTATCTTTTTTTCCCTTTTGAATCCTGACAGCAGTTTCTCTTCAAAACAAGTTTCTGATCTTTAAAATCAGCAGAATGCCAAACACTGTGCAATACTGAGAGTAAGATAGTTGTTGAGATAAGGGGAGAAATCTCTGTGTGTATCTTTGTGTAATCCTGACACGCACCCAAAGGGCCTGTTGGATTGTAGCCTTTCTTATTAATCTGTCTTTCCTAGTGAATAGGGTATAATCTAGCAGTCCTGATGTGAATGAAAGCAGAGTGCTTTTTTCCCTTAACAGGCCATTTTTACATTTTGAAAGATAAAAGTGATCCCTTGCTTTGTGGGAACAGCTCAGATGCCGGGTAAGCAACTTTCCAAATCTTCTGTATAAAAAGAATCCACCATTAAGAGGCAATCTTAGTCAGCTAATGCATTTTATGCTACAGCTTGGATCTTAAGAAGCATGAGTAGAATTCCATTCCTGGAATAGGGCTTTTTTTTCTTTCCCTCTGCAGCTCCTTGTTTCCTGTGAAAAACTGTTCCCAAGGGTTGAAGGAAACATCCAAGCCACATTTGATGTCTCACAGGGAACTGTAGCTGGAATTGGCAAAACTGGACTTCCCCATTGTGGGAGTGGTCCTGTCTTTCCACTCATGCAAACCAACTGGATCCCATCCATTTGTGGCATACAGGGCCAATTTAGCAAAAATATTTATTTTCCATAAAGCCATTCTAGAAATGTAGATTATTTCTGCAAATTCTGGTGTGCTAATATGATTTATTTTATAAACCAATAAACTATTATGTCAGAGGCCTAGATCAGATTGAAATAGAGTTTGACCCTCTTCTTTCAAAAGGTATGGTGGAGTAGCACCCCAAAGTGGAAGCAGCAGTAAGAGAAGAAATCCCTCAAACTGATGGTTACTTCCAATACAGAAACAGTTATTTTGCCATTGTCTTGCTTTGTAGCAAATGCCCAGAAGGATACACGTGCATCAAAGCTGGTCGAAACCCCAACTATGGCTACACAAGCTTTGATACCTTCAGCTGGGCCTTCTTGTCACTCTTTCGGCTGATGACTCAGGACTTCTGGGAAGATCTTTACCAACTGGTGAGAAACTCTCCAAATGAAATTCTAATCATCCGGTAATTGTTGAGGAAGCCCACATTAGGGATGAGAGAAGGTTTTCATCCCTTTATGTAAATGATCATGCAGTAAAAGTGATGTCTTTTCTGTGAAGAATTACTGCAGAATTCCGCTCTATACCCTACAGAGACATTGCACACAGCATAGAAAGCCATGACATAATCATGGACAGATGTAATTTGCATAACCATAGATGTTTCCTCACATATGTTTTCATTCAAATAATGTGCAATGCATTAAATGCCAAAAATAACCTGAGTGTAACAAGGCTGCACAAACTGCAGACTTGCAGGATGAAATTTCTTTTAACTCTGAGATTTACCAACTACAGACTTGTGCAAAAGGCATACATTTAGAATTAATTTGTGAAGACCAGAACTGAATAGAGGTCACAGCCCTCCACACAAAAATCTGCCCCTCGTGACCCCAGTGTTTTCCATTTAAAGCAGAGGAGAGAAATGCGAAATCATTTCCCCAGTGCTCATGTTAACCACTGGGACTCAGAAATCCTGATTGGGCTGCTTCAGATCATGCAAAAACCTGCCACAGGGCCCCAGTCTGCCTTCTGCCTGCTCCTCACACTGCAGCACAGTGATCTGAGATAAAAGTTTTGTTCCCAGATGACACGCGAGTACAGGGCACCGTCAGGCCCTACCCATCCCTTCACATCACACCCCATGTGCCATCACTAGAGGTCATTTTCCAATGCATCTCTCTGGCTGGGGACAGAACCTGCTTTTCTCTGATGAGCCTTGATCCTCGGTGTTGAGATGAACACCTAGAAGAGGCTAATGCCAAATCAAGGGAAGAAGCAGCAATCCATGTTAATCCAGTGGAGAAAGTGAACTTGTTACAGGCACACACTTCCTTGTGTGGAAGATGTGCGGAATAACTGACTGTTTTCCCACATAAGGGGTAGCATGGCTATTCTAAATATCCATGTACTTTCCAGTCTATTCTGTGATAACTATCCCATTTTGAATTATGTTTAGTAAAAGAGAGCAACTCCTTCAAACTGGTAATCTCAACAGACTTGGGATTATTTTAACGGAGGTTCATTTGTTTGTCATTTCCTTGTTCTTTTCCTCAAGAAGTTCACATGCAAACAGTGCATAAGCCATGTTTTTAACTTTCAAAATGCTCCACTTTTGAATGAAATAAACTAAAATATTGTTCCTTATGGTCATGCCAGTATTGAAAGCATGTATATCTATATATCTATATATATATCACCCATATCAATATGATTTTGGTCATATTTGGAGAAACTTAAGCATTGGCTTGAATCCAGATTAGAAATCCTACTGTTTGCAGAAGAGGCCGCAGTCCTATGGAGAGTCCTGTTTACGGAAGGGAGAGGAGCTTTTTCTGTCTCACCTTGCATAGGACGCCCCCGACTGATGCTGCATTTGGTTTCCCAGACCCTACGTGCTGCTGGCAAGGGATATATGGTGTTTTTCGTTCTGGTGATTTTCCTGGGCTCCTTCTATCTGATCAACCTGATCCTGGCTGTGGTCGCCATGGCCTACGAAGAGCAGAACCAGGCCACTATAGAAGAGGCAAAGCGAAAGGAGGAAGAATATCAGCAGATGCTGGAACAGTTGAAGAGGCAGCAAGAGGAGGCTCAGGTACTGGAGATGGCTGCCTTTTTAGAATGCTTTGTATACTGCTTGCAAATGCAGATCAGAGAAAGAGACATGTACACACAAATGAGAGGGAGAGGAATTAATTGAGGGATTCACCATGCATTCCCTGACATATAGAGTAGGGCGTTTGTTCTGCAGAACAGAGCTTTCCTGTGCATCAGTGGATTCATAGCATTTTGTAGAGAGTTACGTTCACCAAAATACCATCTTTACAGTTTTGCATGATGAAAGGCACACGTGCACACACCCATATAGATTGCATCTCTGCTAGATTCTATTTCCAGTGATCATGTCTCATTCACATCCTTAGAGAAAATCTGTTTCATTAAGACTCTGGAAGAAGAAATGATTCAGAGGTTTGCCCTCTCTCTGTCTCCTGGCATACTCAAAGCCAGGAGAACATCTTCTGGGGAGATGTGACATGCTGTGGCAGTGGATGGTGCCCCAGGCAGTGCATTAATGGTGCTTCATCTCTCCGTACCAACAGGCGGTAGCAGCAGCAGCAGCAGCCTATAGAGACTTCAAAGATGACGGCGCGCTTGGAAGGCTTTCTGAAACTTCTTCGGAAGTGTCAAGACTGAGCTCCAAAAGTGCTAAAGAAAGGCGGAACCGGAGGAAGAAAAGACGACAGAGGGAGTTATCTTTAGGGGAAGAGCGAGCAAATGGGGAAAAAATGCCAAAATCTGAATCAGACAGTAGCATCAAAAATAAGGGCTTTCGATTTTCTCTGGAAGGAAAGGGGCTCACGTATGAGACCAGAGTTATTTCTCCGTACCAGGTATGTTGTGGGGCTATTTGTGTTGTTGTAAATGTTGTGCTTCCAGGGGAGGTCTTGAGGATGGCATCACCGTCAGATAGATTTGGTATCCTGGTTCAGGCATTGCATTCTCTGATTCTGAAATGGAATCAGCCCTAGGATTGGAGCAGGTTCCCTGACTCAGTTGCACAGGGAAGACAGATGAGCAGAAGGAAAGAAAGGAGAAGTGTACAAATCCAAGACCCTCTAACAATCTTGCTATGCATATGGATGTTTAGGATCTCTTTAATAGCACAATAACTGTGGAAGCTCAACCTATAACATCCTTGTGTTGTTGGAGAACAAAGGAAGCAGAGCGAGTAAACAATCTGCAGGAGAAAAACCATAGCTCAGGGCAGAGGATGCTGAGCCCTTCTCCTGCTTCCTCCCGGACTTTCCCACAGCCAGCCAGCCACCTTCCTCCCCTCCCTCCCTCCCTCCCTCCCTCCCTCCCTCCCTCCTTCCTTCCTTCCTTCCTTCCTTCCTTCCTTCCTTCCTTCCTTTTAATTGCCCAGTTGGGTTTGCTGTTGACATGTGGAAAGGGAGACAGTTGCTAACTGAATTGGACCAACAAGTATGGAAAACTTTGTTAAATACAGTGGTACCTTGGCTCACAAACTTAATCCGTTCCAGGACTCTGGTCGTGACCCAAATTGGTTGTGACCCAAGTCAATTTTCCCCATAAGGTTCAATGTAAATAAGGTTAATCCCTTCTGTAACTATTTTTTTAATCAGAAAAATTTGAAACAAAGTAACAAAGAACAACAAAGTACTGTACAGTACAGTGGAGAATACTAACCTAGGTCAGGGGGGAGGTTATTATTTTGAGGGAGAGTCCCCCTCCATAAGGACATTGGGGAGATTTCCATCAGGGGTTTCCTCTCTTCTTTGTCTCTTAGCTGCAGGGTCAATTTTGGTGAAAAATCTGTCTATAGTCTCTTGTTTTTTCCTGCACTGCATAACCCTCTGGAAATGAGAGACCACATTATCATTCATCAGATTCGAAGCTCTGTTCATTGCAGTTATGTTGGGGTGGTGCTTCTCAAAGAAATCCTGGCACTCATTCCATTTTTTCACAATGGATTGTATCACATCACTGCTAACCTCCTCCCTGTCTTCCTCTTCCTCAGTGAAATCTTCCTTAGCAAGTGCCTTCTGCTGCTCGCTCTGGAGTTCAGCAAGTTTTTCTGTCGTCAGCTCCTGTATGTCTTCCCTGAACGAACGCAACTGCGACCGTGGCCATCTCCCCACTCTTGTTGGTTGGTGGGGGGAGATGGCCACGATCTTGGTTGCCACCCAATGCGGAGTTCGCGACCCAAGTCAAAATTTTCATGACATTTTTGTTCGTGACCTGATTTGGTTGTGAACCAAGGTTCGTGAGCCGAGGCAGCACTGTATATGTATGTTTCAAGACAGAATGGCGCTGTGCATCCTGTGGCAACATCCTGTGCATCCTGTGGTGATGTCGTTGTCAGAGCAAGGTTAAAGGCTACAGAATTGTTTGGGGTTCATAATTTATCTCATGGTTTCAGCTTGACGGAGTCCCTAAAGTTCTTTTCTTTTGAGAGGGGCAGTTCCATGAGAATCTGCGGAAAGCTGTGTTGCCCATACACTGGTTATCTGCTGACTCTTCTGTGTTTGGGAAACAGTTCTAGAATTCCTTTTGAAAAGGAGCAGAGGGAATGTAGGTAGGCACTGCGTTGTAAGCCTCATTCCTCTCTCCCCAGTCAATGCTGTTCCCCACGAGACGCAACAGCCGAGCAAGCTTTTCCAGCCTGAAAGGCCCGACCACCGAAGGGGGCTCGGATGCCGACAGCGAGCAGAGCACCTTTGAAGACAACGGAAGCCGCAGCGGGTCCTATTTCTTTCCGCGCAGACGAAGCGAGCGGCGCAGCAGCAACGTTAGCCAGTCGCTGCTGCCCATGTTTCCAGTGAACGGGAAGAAGCACAGCAGCGTGGACTGCAACGGGGTGGTGTCCCTGGTTGGAGGGCCACCAGCCCTCCTGTCGCCTACCGGACAGCTTCTCCCAGAGGTGATAATAGATAAAGCAACCACTGACGACAGTGTAAGGATGTTTTAAGTAGCTTAGGCATGGTGGGCCCACAGAACGGAATCCAAGCTGTGAATGCTGCTGCATCTTGGGAAAGCTTTACCAGCGCAATTCTCCAGGCGATAACTTGTGCAATGCCGGAATTAACAGTCTGGTTTTTACTGCGCGTACCTGCAAACACACAGCAATGTTTTTAAGGGAGGGGTGTATTTATTTATATAGTCAAATTTACATTTAGTTTAACCTAAGTAGGGGCCTGTTAAATGTCAGAAGCCCCTTTCCTTTTTCCTCCTCCTTGCTCCTGCTGCTCCCTTTTCCCTCACTCCACCCTCTTTTCTAGGAAATAGATCCTCCTCCTCCTCCCACTCTACTGTGTCCTGAGTACACTTAAAACCAAGTAGCTGATCATGTAGCTACACTGGGTAGTTTCCTTTTCACATGTATGCCTGTCTGGCTCCAATGCCAATGGAGACTTTTGTTCTTTTTTTAGCCCCACTCCTTAACAGGGGAATGAATGGATGAATGAGTGAATGGGGGGGGGGGAATGGGTAGGTGGAAAACTTTAACCCTTCTTTTCTACAGCACCATATTCCCGATCCAAATTGCTTGCTGACACGAGGGTAAAGAAGACTGCTGAGTATGACTACACATTTGGCATAATGTGTAGTTTAACCCTGACAATGAAACGGCACTTCCTGTTATCTCGCAGGGCACAGAATGCACCCTTTCTCAGTGCTGCTGTAAGATTGGCCTTCCCCCAGGCAGCTCCCCTACTAACTCAAGAAGTGGCTTTAGGAAAGGCAGAGAAGTCGGCCATAAATCTTCTGTACTTCACAGACACATGCCCTGATTTCCATTTCTCTCTGCATGTCCATGTGCATGTGTTTCTTTATGTATCTCAAGTTGTGGGTGGCTCAGTCTGGACTGGGACTGCTGTGGGGCAGAGGCATATGCTTAAGACCCCCCTTAATTCTGGCTGCTCATGGAAGAAACATCTTGTAATCAAGACTGAGCCATGTGATTAACATCACATGTATTTTGGTCCTCACTGGAAAGCCAGTATATCCAGCCCCAGGTCTGCATCTGTAAAATGGACATAATAGCTCAGTTGTTGTACTTCAGCTTCCTAAAGAGTACACTGATTTTTTCAGAAGTTTCAGAGCAGTGATTTGTCATACGTAGACACTGACTGTTTACTCTTCCTTTAACTGTGATATTGTGTTTGCAGGTACATGCAGTATTTTGCCCCAGGAAATCTCCCTTGGTGCATGCTGACACTCAATTGAGCCAGGCTTTTATTGTTAGCCCATTTTAGTTGCAAAAGAACGTGACATGCTTTAAAGGAGAGAAATGGAACATGAACCACGCAAGCGATTCTTCTAATTAAGAAATCTAGAGTGAATTTTAAGTTCACACTGCAGGAACTTTGCTCAAATTTAATGGTGATGAGTAAACAAATTGTTTTTGCATGACCTGATTTTTTTTTTCTTTCTTGGACCCGGATGTGAAAACTATTTGGATATCTAAGCACAGAACCAGAAACTTCTGAGCTCTGGTTCTCCTTCATGTTTTCCCCCCATTAGTCCATTTGCTAAAGCAGACTTAGCTCAAGAATCAGAAAGTGGTGTAGTGGTTAAGAGTATGGGACTGGGACTCAGGCGATCTGGGTTCAAGTCCCCGCTCAGCCATGGAGCCAACTGGGTGACTTTGGGCCAGTCGCAGACTCTCAGCCCAACCTGCCTCACAGGGTTGTTGTTGTGGGGATAAGATGGGGGAGGAGGAGATGTAAGCTGCCTTGAGCCCTTTGTAGGAAAAAGGCAGGATATAAATCGAAAAATAAATAAATAAATAAATAAATAAATAAATAAATAAATAAATAAGAGTCATCAACAATCAGTCATTTGGCTCAGTGCCGTGATTCTGCACATGATGAGAGCAGGACCATAACTCTGCATAAGGTGCCATATGTGAAGCATGAGTTTTAACAGTATTTGTGATCCTAAGGCTAGTTTGAGGGAACAGCTGTAACACATCCCATTTATGTAAGTGTGAAAATTCCCAAGATTCGGGTCTGCTTATGGCCACACATGTCCATAACACTAGGTAGCATGAATACAACACATTTTATTATTTCAGTGATTCCTTTAAAACAAGCATATGAAATGCCTGAATCCAAAGTGCTAGATATTCCAAAAAGTCTAGCATAATAAAGGCAAAAATATCATGCTGCATGTGGCATGGACTTCTTGATGCTTCTGTTTCTGTGGATTATCTTTATGATACAAGCTTCCATATTATTCATGTTGATAATGTAGTCTTTTCACTTCACTGCAGAGCACTGCTTCTGAACTAGATAGCAGGAAAAGGCGGTCAAGTTCTTTACAGGTATCAATGGATTTACTGGATGATCCCACCATAAGGCAAAGAGCAATGAGTATAGCAAGCATAATCACAAACACAATGGAAGGTAAGCACATATGCCTTAAAAGCATCATAACCTTTTGGTTCTAATGCCTTCCCTTGGCTGGTAGGTCTACAGATAAGATTATGAAAACATCTGAGAAATGATAGTATTTAAGTTAACACATCTGTTTTCAGTGGTATGTCTTATACGTAGTGCACGTTTCCTGGAGTACACTGCTGCATTCATCATTTAGAATAAAAAGTAAATATAGTTGAAATATTAATGCAAATATGTCTGGAAACTTCAATAGTCCAAGTGCTAACATAGGCTCTTGCAAAGCCATTAACTGAAATCTGATGCACGCTCCCCACCCTAGCAAGGGAGATCAATAAGGTATAGCCGGTGTCCTCACATCTGTTTGTCTGACTGCAAACCTTATGTGCAGATCGATTGCAGGTCAGTGCTGATATGCGCTTGAATGGAGGGATATAAAATGATCTCTGCGCACATGGCATAATTTGGCTGGGGATGCACCTCCCCATCTGCCCTACTGCATGTGTAGAAATGAACATCCACAGGTTGTGTTCAGCATCTTGTTCTATGTTGCTGTATCTGTCCTGCGGTGAAGGGGAAGGGGGATCATTCATCTGGACTGCATCTGGGGTAGACACTTCCTGATGACCACCCCATGGCTAGTGTTTAAAACACCCACCCAGAACCCTGATGCGCTTTCAAGTGCTGTGCTTAGCGTTGTGTGTGTGGTTCGGCCAACTGAGTGCATCATGTCAGTGGAAGCCGTTCTTTCCTACGGGAAGAAGTAAAACACTCCGCTGGTAGCAAAGCCTTCTTCCTTGGCATGTTGGGCAAGGTACCCTCCTCTAAAACCCAGCAAAGGAGAACCTAATGCACCTTTGGGCAGACTCAGGCCAGATTTATATTTTACCCCTTCTGCCCTTCACCTATCACTCTGCAGTCCAGCTTTTTTCAGAGCAAACGGATGCAGAAAAATTACCCCAGCAACTTTAAATAGTTCTCTGTAAATTCTATGATGCAGTTTCTTGCATGCGTTCATGTACTCCAATCTCAGATACTGGAAACTTTGCTAAGAAATAATAATGTAATGCTACAGATGCATCAAGGCATATAATACATTTAGAAATTGCAAATCACATTTTAGTTCTGTACTTTTGACTTAATCAATATAAAGAATTAAATGACTATTTGGTGTTTATACTCCCTCTAGAACTTGAAGAATCCAGGCAGAAATGTCCACCATGCTGGTATAAGTTTGCCCACACTTACTTGATTTGGAGCTGTTGTGATAGCTGGTTAGAAATAAAGAAAGTTGTTCATTTAATTGTGATGGATCCATTTGTCGATCTTGGCATTACCATCTGCATTGTTCTAAATACGCTCTTTATGTCCATGGAACATTATCCAATAGAGAAGTCCTTCAGTGACGTTCTTAAAAATGGAAACCTAGTAAGTCACATTTTACAATAAATCATTTTTCAAATGATAAATGTAAAATTGATTTTGCATACAGTCCTCCAAATCTACTCATACCTGGGAACAGGACAGTATAAGGGGCTGGTAAAAGCTAATTATCCTTCAAAGCAGAGGTGGAATAATTGCAAATATTATGAGGTGCAAGCCCCCTTCAGGCATTTTCCTCCATGAATTAAGAGAATGATGCATTTCAGGCAACACTCTGTGGCTCAATAGACTCCTAGAGCTGAAGCATAGTAGAGTTGGGAGGGACCAAGAAGGCCATCAGGTCCAGCTCCTGCTCAATGCAGGATCCCAGTTTAAAGCATCTCTCCCAGATGGCTGTCCAGCTTCATCTGGATTGCATCCAGTGTGGGAGAGCCCACAACCTCCCTAGGTAACTGCTTCCATTGTCATACTGCTTGAACAGTCAGGAAGTTCTTCCTGAGGCTCAGTTGGAATCTGGCTCCCTGTAACTTGGCCCACAATTCTGTGTCCTGCTCTCTGGGGTGATCAAGAAGAGATCTTGGCCCTCCTCTGTGTGACAACCTTTCAAATATTTGAAGCATGCTATCACATCTTCCCTCAGTCTTCTCATGGCTAAATATGCTTGAGGACCATTTTTTTCTAGTCTTTCCTCATAGGACTTCATTTCTAATCCCCTAAACATTTGTGTTGCCCTACTCTGAACCTTCTCCCATTTATTTGCATCTTTCTTAAATTGTGCCCAGAAGATGTGATACTCAAGATGAGGCCTAACCAGTTCTTTGTAAAGAGGAACTTACACTTCACATGACATGGAAGTGATGCTTCTGTTAATGCCCTTTTTGCAGCCACATCACATTGTTGGCTCTTGTGGGCGCAAAGATGAATATGCAGCCTCCACTTGAGAATTCAGTCAGTCAGTCACTTAGTTGATTTTGGTCAGAAAGTTGTCAGTTTTAGATGACAGCACACAAATATACAAAATAAATATTTACAAATCTGATCTATGGTACTACCTCCATTATAGTCAGATAAGGTATTGCCTAACTGAAACTACAGACTAAGAACAGTAAGATGCAATTGTACAGGAATAAAATTTGTGCTCAACATGAAAACTCAGGCACAAGTAAAATCCATGTTCATCAACCCAATAGGCCTCTTTAGCTTATCACTGCAATTGCAGTCTAGTTTTAATGGCCATGGTTGAAATTGGGCTGCCTCCATCGTGTCACCCAGTTTATTATCTGCCAGCAGAACAGGAACAGAAAACTGAACCTTGTAACCCACTCAGGGAGTGTTATTGATTAATGTGGTGGGATAAAATCCAATAAATAAATAAATCCAATGAATAATATCAGTATTTCACAGGCTGGATAAAGTGATTGGAGTCATAAAATAGGCTCGGGTCTTTGTGAGATTCACAGTTTAGTAAAAAATGGGCAACTGTTTTGGTTTAGTCCTTTTCACAAGAGCAAAATTTCAGATGTGAAGAAGACCCTACAGACCCTTCTGTTATCACTGATAGTAAGCCATGTCATCTAGCCATTTTCTCCTCAATCCAGAGATATTTAGAGGTGAGGTCGTTCACTGATGGAGGGAGACTGCCCAGTTATAAACCAAGATGTGCAGCTGAACAATCCCCTTTGCTATCAGTTAAACAAGCCTACATAAACCTGAAACAGACCATGATGGGCTTTCATAATGTGGCAACCTCTGAGTGAGGGTTGCATATTCAAAATGGCAGATACACACTCTGTGTGGACAGCAGTCTCACAACAGGTTAAATAAGCCACAGTGGGCTGCCATGTCATGAAAACATGAAATTGGGTAGGTTGACTGCCCCCTTCAGACCTCAGCATTTTTAGAGACATCCCTAAGGGGAAGTCTACTCAGCCAAGTTCTTCCACGAAACCTGCCCTCTCTTGGGTGATATTCTACAAGTAGTTCCATGTTCCAGGTCAGTTCTTCTCAGATCCAACACAGCACCCTGCAAGTTCTCAGCCCAGCTGCAAACTGGTCAAAGATGTGCAGTCTCTCATTTTCATTGTGTTCAAGCAATACTCTTTATTTTTAATTTTAGTATGAATAGGCAACAAAACACAATACATGCTTTTTCAAAATAAGAAAAGAAGCAGATGCTGTGTGCAGTAATGGACTGTGTTTTGCACTTAGGTCTTCACTGGGATCTTCACTGCAGAAATGGTCCTCAAAATAATAGCCATGGATCCTTACTATTATTTCCAAGAAGGCTGGAATATTTTTGACAGCATCATTGTCAGCCTGAGTTTGATGGAGCTGGGTCTTGCCAATGTGGAAGGCCTGTCAGTCCTGAGATCCTTCAGATTGGTGAATACAATGCTAAACAACATTACTGATTTGATTACTGGTTTCTGTGATTAGGGCTGGGGAATAATGTGCAGTATTCCCTGTAACAGAATTGTTCTTGCAAGGATTCAAGACTTGGTGCACTCCAGCTGATTCTGCATGGGTCTACTCTATGCATCTTTAGAGTCACGTCACAGCAAGACATACAATGGCCCTGGAACTGATAGAACACACTCGGGTCCACAAAAGTCTCTACCTGGGTTTGCGGAATCCACCAGAATGAGGAGGAGTAGCTTGATTAGGGATGAGCAGGAATGTCCAACTCAAGCGATTTAGCAGAACTCTGCGTGGCATCTGCATTTCGCTAGGGGGCAGCAGCGCTTCATGTGCTTGCTGGTTTACAGGGCTCACCCGTTGTGTAGCAGGCACTTAATGCTAACGCACTGCTGCATATCCGTTTCACCCTGGTGTGATGCAGCCAGCGGATTTGCTTTCACTGGCTGCTGCATAGCATAGCTTTCCTCCTGCAGTGGAGAGCGTGTTCTGCATCTCAGGCAAGCCAGGCTCTGATTCTGTGGGTGGGCTAAAAACCCGTGGGCCAGATCAGGGGGAATAGTTTATAAGAGGATTGTCTAAGTCTTCCCATTTTTCTGGGCAAGGGCTAAAATGTATATGGAAACAGTGATTCCTCCTTGAATTCCAATGAGAACTCTAATGTTAATTTGATTGAAGTTAGCAGTAAATATGCATTAAATGCATGTTTAGAGATAATGCTGCCAAGTTTCATTTTCTTTAAATACCATGTACATAGCATACGGCACTGTACACATAATAAAGGGTTTGTCAAGCCAGGAAGTGTCTGTCCCAGTAACAGTAGGAACCTTTTCATTCAATGTGCCAAGTGCTAAGAAAGGAAGAAGGGCTTCTAAGCAGTTTTTGCTGGACTCATCCAGAACAGCCAAGCTAGCTTCAAATGGGGAGATATTAACCTTTATTTCCACTAGTGGCTGCTAGCAAGGAAGGTGTGCCTTACCTTGGCAGACTAGTGGCTACAGAGCATAGCTCAGGGAGGGAGTGAATGAGGGAGTGAATGAGTGAAGCCAAAGCTTTCCCCAGCAGAGCCATGGCACTACCCATGGGATTACTGGGACTACTCATGGCTCGTTGTCCTTCTAGCTGATAGTGGGATCCTGGGTTGCATGTGACTGGACTGTAGGCATAATCTTCTCCAGGTTTCCATATATTTATAAATTCCTCATTATTGTTTTCAGCTTCGAGTCTTCAAGCTGGCAAAATCGTGGCCAACTCTCAACATGCTGATAAAGATTATTGGGAACTCAGTCGGGGCTTTAGGCAACTTGACCTTGGTCCTGGCCATCATTGTCTTCATTTTTGCTGTGGTTGGTATGCAGCTGTTTGGTAAAAGCTATGAGAGCTGTAAGTGTAAGATCTCGGATAACTGTAAACTTCCACGCTGGCACATGAATGACTTTTTCCACTCCTTCTTGATCGTGTTCCGAGTTCTTTGTGGAGAATGGATAGAAACCATGTGGGACTGTATGGAGGTGGCAGGCCAAGCCATGTGCCTTATTGTTTTCATGTTGGTCATGGTGATTGGAAACCTCGTGGTATGTAGTCAACCACCGTCTTTTCAGCCATTTTCTTACACAACTGTGAAGGGCTTGTTTTCGATTCATTATCTAATAATCTATAGCTATTATGATAAATGGGGGAAACCCAATATATATGTACATTTATTAAGAAGGCTTCTATCCCACCTTCCCGTTAAGTATTTCAAGGACTATCTTGCCCTGCTGCCCTACATTAATGAGGCTGCTTCAGCCACTGTTGGGGAACATGAGGCTTTTCAGAGGTTGTTGGCTTGCATCACCCATCAAGCTTCGGTCTGCCTAAGCACAGGCAAGGGACGATGCAAGTTGTAGTCCAACAGTATCTGGAGGGCCACACTTTCCCATCCGTTCCCTAGAGCTAAACAGGCTTTTGACATGGGCTACTCAAGCGTGCTCTTAAGGGTCTCCCAAGTCTCAGGTTTTCTGGTGTGATCTTATACCAACAGACTGTTTCATCATAACCAGTCCAGAGCTGCTATGCTGCAGCTTGACAGTGTGAGCCCCATTCCGACAAGGGGCAGGGGTGCTCCCATGCCCAGAAGCACATTTTCAGAGCATGGCTCTTTCCTTCTGCCCACACTGAGGGCCATGGTGCAGGCAGAGACATCTACATCCACGGTAGGTGAGTTGTGCCAAGTGCCAGCCCACAGCTGAGCCAGTCGGCATCAAAGATCTGCTGAAGATAAGGGGCTCCTTGGGGGAAGCCCTGGGCACAAAAGCTGTTGTCACCAGACAGTAACATCACTTGGTCAAGGAGGTTGCTTTTTCCTTTCTCTTTTCATGGAGGAACTAAAGATGACAGCATGTCGGAAAGCGCCCTGTGTTTACTTCTACTGTGGAAGAGCATTTTCAGGAAAGACCTCTTTAGAGTTCACATTGAATTGCTGTTGTGCTGCAATTTCCCAATATTTCACCAATTAACAGTGGTTGGAGTATTGTGGAGTCTGTCTTCCTGAATAATAACAACAATTATGATGACAGTAACAGTAACAACAACAATAGAATTACTTCTGTGCCTTCCTTTGGAAGGCTATAGCTGATCCCCACCATAGCATATACTTTGAATGCTTTGTTCTGTCTTTTCATTCTATGTAGAAAGATTTCAAGAGGTACTTCTCTCTTTCCCTTCTGTATACCATAGGACATGCTCAAGCCAAACTGCACCTGGGTTAGCCACTAGCTCAACCCTAAAGTGCAGAGGGGTGCTTTTTTAACAAATAGCCAATGCGGAGTGAGGGTGGGGTAGAGTTCTAGGCTGCAGCGTGGGAAATAGGTGGACTTTAACTTCACACACACCCCTTGTGGACTGAATCTGGATCTGCACATGCAATTGCCATTGCAGAGAAGTTCCCTGTGTTTCAGTGGGCCTTTTTATTCCAGCACAGTTTTGGAAGGAGAGCGGGGCAGTCCAGATCAGGCACTGACTGCGTCTTTGTCAAAACAACAACAACCCCTGTATGTAAGGATGGAGCTACATGACTAACATCATGTAGAGTTTGGCTCCAAACAAGCCTCTGTCCCAATAATGTGCTAGTATTTCCAGTTTATTTGTGCTGCTTTATCTCCGCATAATATTCCCTTCTTCTTTTTTCACATATTTAGTGTATTTACTCAGACCACAATATTACCCCTTTGCATTTAAAAAATGTTCCATATGATTGTGTTGCTGTTATTTAACAACGGCAAGATAGAGAAGTTTTTTCCTTCAGTTTCCCCATTAAGAAGGGAGGGTGGGCGAAACCATCTCTATCTTGCTGTTGTTTTTCCCCCCTTTTTTCCCCCTTCAGTTTCCCCATTAAGAGGCTGCAGGTGGTACAGTGGGTTAAACTGCTGAGCTTCTGGGCTGGTTGATCGAAAGGTCGACAGTTCAAATCCACAGACGGAGTGAGCTCCCGTACTCTGTCCCAGCTCCTGCCAGCCTTGCAGTTCGAAAGCATACAAATGCAAGTAGATAAAAAGGTACCACTTCAGTGGGCATGTAACAGCGTCCCATGGACCTCGGTGTTTAGTCATGCCGGCCACATGAACATGGAGACTGTTTGCAGACAAACATCAACTCCCTCAGCTAGGAAACGGAGATGAACACCACCCCCTAGAGTCAGGCATGACTGGACTTTAATGTCATGGGGAAACCTTTATTGCTGGCTCTCTTAGCATTGTCATAACTAGACAACAACAAAGAAATGATTCATTGAAATTAATTCTAGAAACACAAAAGCAGTTTTGTTTTGCTTTGTTTTTAAGGAAGTTATTCTGAAATAGAAATATGAGCTCATGAATTAAGCTTAAAAACACATAGGGGGAAAAACTAAATTGTAGCAATTCAGAAATTAACTGGAGAAAAAGAGCCTAACTGAGATATTTTCCCCCCAGGTACTAAACCTCTTTCTGGCCTTATTATTGAGCTCTTTTAGTTCAGACAGCCTGGCTGCTCCAGAACAGGAAACGGAAGCAAACAATCTGCAGATTGCTATAGCAAGGATACAGAGAGGACTAGATTATGTAAAAAGGAAAGCACGTGAATTTGTTCAGATTGTCCTTTTACAAAAGTGTAAGGGATCCCCTGGAGTCGTTTCAACGGATGAACAAAGTGACAAAAAGGGTGCATGTGTTCCTAACCATACTGTGGCAGAAATCAACAAAGGCCTTGGTCCTCACAAGGCTAGAACAACAACTACAATCTATCTGGACAACAGTGATCATATTCAGTCTTTCATAAACAACCCAAACCTCACAGTGACAGTACCAATAGCTGTGGAAGAATCTGATACTGAAAATGTAATTACAGAGGAAGTTGGCAGTGTATCCGAGCCTGAAGACAGTAAAGAGGTAAGACACTAAATCCTTTCACCAATTTATACTATGCAGTTTTTGTGCACTTGATTCATTTGGGTATGTCTTCAGCTGTGAGCTTAAGCTTAGATGCATTCATATTTTCATCCATCTTAACCTCTCACTTATTGCAGCTGCTTTTTCTAGAAGTCTATATGATTGTGAATACTGAAGATGGCAGCATTTGTAACTTTTCATCCTACAAAGTCAGGGCTGTATATACTTGTTCCATGAATTCACAAACAGTCAGTTATACACTTCTGCACATAGGTGGGTGCAGCTAGCAGAGTGGATCTAAAGGAGAACAAACTATATATGCAGGTGGAACACATGCTAAAAAACAGGTAGCAATTCCAGCATACCACTTGCCACGAAGTGGTTCCAAAGGTATCTTGTACTCAGTGTTCTGAAGTCGTGAATGATGTTTCCACATCTCCAGAAGTGTAGCTACACAATCCAATAAATGACAAAAATGAAGACGGTGGAGACACTTCTCCTGGATTAGGAAACAACCTATATTGGTCCATGGCAACCTTTTAAGTATAGAAGTAACAGGGCAACAACAGCCTAGTGGTCTGTGTCAGAATATCATGCAGTGTACTTAGGAAGCTGTTTTATGCCAGGTTGGATTATCTGACTGCTCGAATGTGGCTCAACTGCTAAAAGTTGAGCTACTGCCTGCCTTGGGCTCCTGCACCACCACTCCCACTCCAGTGGGACCATGAGGAAGAATTCAGAAGTGTTTGCTTCCATTATAAAGTAAGCACAGCTCATTGTGGCATCTAAACTCAAACAAACTGAAGTCTTAGCTATGGTTAGTGAAAAAAATAAACATCAAGCGTAGTTTATGAAAGTAATTTGTTTTCACTAGCTATAGGTAAGATTAACCATAAACTAAACCAATTAAAGGTGATGTGGCAGCTTCCAGTCTCCTTCTTGCAGCCCCGTGGGAAGCAAAGGAGGTGCATATCAATGAAACCTAAGTTTCCTGAGTTGATCAGAAGTCCACATCAACACTCGTTCCAGCTTGTGTCTGTATTGTATTTTGAGTTTGGAGTCTTTTTTTCTTTTTTGTTTGCATAGTTGTGTGCATTTGATGCACATTTTTTCCTAATATACGTATCAGTTGTGTGCATTCTTCAAAAGCATTTTTCTCCTGACTAGAGTAATCAAAAGTGTGCATTTTTCAACTGCCTTTTTGTTGTTCCATAAATCATGTTGCCAGCTCAAACATTTATAGGCTCTGGCCACAAATCATGCTTGGGTCAAAATGACATGAACTTCATTTGGTTCTAGGACATGCAAACTGGATTAATTTTGATTAAAATGAACTGAAACAAATTTTTGATAGATCCCTAGAAGGGAGTGGCAGAACCCATGGCTCACTGCAGTTTGCACCTAGAACACAAAATGCGAACCAATTATGTCAACTGCCCAGAAAGTGATCTTAACTAACAGGCAGTATAGAACTTAAATAAATAAATACTTTATCATTATGTATGTACCTGGATATTACCTGGTCACTGTCTTGGGCAGAGCCTTTTCTCCCTGTCACCTGATATCTGATTCTTTGACTAACTGATGCTCTTCTCAATAAAACAGAAATGGTTGAGAGAGACAGAACGTTATTGCTGATATTTGTCTGCCTTTGAAAGCAAGTCCAGAAGTACAGTGTTGATGCAGAGAATGCTTTTTAACTGACTCAGCCACTTCTTTTTCTTTATGTTGACTAAAAGATCACCCTCTTCCTACTGTATAAGTCTTCACTACATTATGAAGTTTGTCCCATTTTTCAGACTTAACCTGTACTTGTACAGCCGTGATCATGTTATTTCCAAAAGTAGAAGCACAGAAGTGTTTGTGCCTTCAGCGTCGTTTCCTATCGTTCTCACCTCTCGCAGGACTAAAATCAAGCCGGACCAGCCGCTCTGGTACATTTTAACCAGGCAGACCAACGTGTGTCAGCTCATGTGAGCAGGTTACCTCAGCCAATGCGGTGTCCATGCCCACTGCTGAGGAAAGACTGACTGGCGTGCATGATCAGCTACAGTGATGTGCCACCTTCATCCATTGCAGTAGCAGTAGCAAGACACGCAGGCTGACCTGTCATTTGAGCCCTGTGACTCACATCCCACCATAATCAGGGCAGGCTGCAACTTTCTCCGTGTTTGGCAATTTTTACATAGCATTTTGATAAACTGCATGGTCTGTGGATATGCTTGGGCTTGGATTATAAGAGTGTGTTTGGATTTAAGAAGAGGTTGTTGTAACCTTAATCATTGAGTTGCATTCAGTAGTTTGCCTTGTGTCAAGGAAGAGGACTGTAGGATTCAACCCTCATAGTAATGCTGTGCCTAATCATAGAGGAACATTTAGGTCTTTGAATACAAAACTAATTGGCAAGGCAGTCTAATGCATGTTTACGTGGAAGCCAGTGCCAGTGTGTTTAATAGCATAAGCATCTATAAGTGGGATACCACCAGAGTTATTTATGATTGCCGCGTTTGCTGCATGTTTTATTTATTTAATTTATTTATTTGGAATTCTTGTATGCCACCCCATTTGCATAAGCCTCGGGGCGGCTTCCAACATATAAATAAATATCCATATAAATACATATAAAAACTGGAGACATCCTGGTATAATAATTTAAAATCAATCAATAAATCAGCAATTATTAAAATATTGTTTAAATAAAAAGGTCTTGGCCTGGCACCGAAAAACAAATAGTGATGACGCCAGGCAGACCTCTCTGGGGAGCGCATGTTGTACCTAAGTCCTTTTCAATCCTGGACTTAGTTATCCTATAGAGGCCCCCTATAGATGACCACATTGTAACTTCCATCATGAAGCACACCACACAAATTCTCTTCTCCGTGCCCCTTCCATCTGCTATGCCATGCCAATCCTGAAGAAGCATCAACAGCCAGGGCTATATGAGGGGCAGACAATCTGTCCCACAGGCAATTTCCATGTATTGAGTCAAAAGCTGGTGACAGAATGGCTAACACAGAAAAGAGCCGTGCTTGTTTCTTAACAGACTTTCCAATAAGGTGATTCAGAGTGAAAAAGTGATCAGCTTGTTCTTCAAACAAAACGCAGCTGCGGGAGACCCCCTCCTACAGCTTGCTGAGTAGAAAGGTGGCATATATTTTAGAAGGCCTATCCGGCAAACAATCCCATGTATCATTCTGAGCAAGTTGGGGGTTACCCTCTTTAAAGATAGGATAAACGGCAATAGTTTCCAGACTGGAGGAATTAAACCAGTCAAACAAATCTCAATTAATTATTTAGCAAGAACAGGAACCTACCTGTTGGAGGATGTTTTGAGTAATTCTGGGGACAGGGAGCCTTTAGCTTGGGCCTCATTAAAGCTTAATCAAATCAAACAAATCAAATTAACTGTACATGAAATTACTAGTTCCTGGTTAGGAAGAACTCCACGATCAGCATAAGAGGGGAAAACTGAGGAAGAGCTATATAATTCAGCAAAATAATTGTTCCATTCACCAGCTTAAACCTGGGTTGCAAGGATGCAGTACCACTATTTGCAGTAGTGGCAAATGTATGCCACTAATTTCTGTAGCAGCTAAATCCAAATTATGTAATAACCTTGCTGATGGGGGCAGGGGGTTAAATGAATGAGACATTTATAAAATGATCTGAAGTTGACAGGTGCTCCTGGGTGGCTGCTTCTGCTTTCAGTTCATACATTGTCTAGAAAATTTTGTCAGAGTTCTCCTATCTATCCTGCAGTACTTGTCAAACCAGGAGAATGATGAGCCTGAATTCTGATGCAGAGCCCAAGAGGCAATCAGTGAGGGTTGCAGACCTTCTACCCTCTGTTTCCAGTACCTACTTGAGGGAGAAGCTTCTCCCAAAAGACAGTGAGAGCAAAGTCAGATTAGCTCCTTTGCCTTCACAAAAGGAGCTCAGAGACTGAGGAAGGACCTCAGACCCCCACTAGCCAAGCCACAGTTAAGCCTCCTCGTGTATGGGAAAGCTCCTTTGATATGTGAACTATGCGCTTGTCAAAATTTCCTAGGCTGTATCCATGTATCATACATCTAATTCTTTGGAGGCAGTCACCTTAGTGCCATGCAAAATTGCCTTACATGTTTGATATGATGCCTTCTGGATTTCTGAATGCTGTTAAAACAAATCAATTTTGGAACAGCATTTCTGTGTGCCCTGCAGAACAGCTATAGAGGACACAGTTTCCTATATAATGACCCTCATGAAAAATGTCTGCCTGACACTGGAAAAATGTTGTTACATCAGTTGTGTTTGTGCACTCTTTGATAATAGTCAAGAATACTCACATTACAATGTATGCTTCATTATTTGCATTGGCATTCAAGAAATTTGGAGCCGATTTGTGGCTCAGATTTGAATATCTTCATATTTCTAACATTTGTAACTAAGCAAGTAAAATTCTCTCCTATTCCACAGAATCATAGAACCATAGAATAGTGGAGACGGAAGGGACCAAGGCCATAGGGTCCAATCCCCTGCTGTTGCAGGACACCAATTTACACCATCCCGTTCATGTATAAGAAAGCTCCTTTGATATGTGAACTATGCATTTGTCAATTTGCATTTGCATAGTTACATTTTACAAAATCTTCATTCTATCAAAGCTTAGCTTGCTTCTACATGACTTAGGTGTTGTAAAACAAGCCTGTTTTCCAACCCTGGGAAGGAAAGACTTGAAACCGGTCCTGAAATTTGTACTAATTTCCTAAGCTTTCAATCAAAACAAAACAAACTAGTTCAAATCATGACCCGTTTTAAAAGAAAAAGTAACAAGATATTCTATTTTGGGATATTGATGGGACAAATGGTGGGTTCAGAAAGACTAACAAACTGTGACCCCATTTGCACAGATTGTGGGAGCCGAAAAAAATAAAATAATCCAACATGTGTCTATTTTATATGATAAATTCACATAATCCTAATAGAAAACCATAGTGCCAGTGCCCAGTGAGATAAAATTGATAATGACCACTTCTTTGTGAAATAGAGAATTGGCTGAGCTAATAATAAAATAGCGAGAGGATGAAACTGACAAGGATGTTTACTAAAAGAATGCACTGTGTTCAGACTTGCAAATGCACTAAAATATTAAAAATGGGGGGATTATGGAAATTTAAAAATATAGACCTCCATTTGTGCAAAAGACACAACATGTTCAAAGCACCACTTGTGCAAACTGTGTTGCACACATTTTCAGAGCCTCCCTCCTTGGAAGTCCCACCCCACAATAATCTGTTTCCATTTGCCAGAATGAAAATGCTGTGGAAGTCCACGAGGCTCCATCGGAATAGATTTCCCATCATCACACATCCCAAATAGTAACTGCTGCATTGCCATGTTTATGCAACTGGCACAAGCTTTTCCAAAGGCCTTGCATGTCTCAGAAGATAATGGAAGGGCTCAAGATGTGTGTGCAGTTTGCTGAACGGGGTTTCTAAATTTTTAAAGGAGATGGAGGCTGGCCCAGCATTTCATGGTCTCAACCAGGTCTGGAAAGAAAGAACGAGATCTCAGCAACTGCTGACCTCTTTACCCCATATCGGAGGCCCCGGAATTCGAGGGCAAAGGTCTGCTGCTCCCCAGAGTCTGGTCAGCAAAGTTGGGAGAGTTAGTGTGGCCCTAGTGGCCAGTGCGGTACTCAATTTTCTCACCTTTTGTGGCCTTCCAACCAGCAGAAAAATAAGATCCAGGTTATAAGACCAAGGGAAAGGGTGGGTCTTAACAGCTAGTCAAATGCAATATGCAAGACTATAAAGCATGTTTGCTACTTACATGCCACAGATGTTAAGCCTGAAAGTCTTGGCTTACTATTTCTATGCTTTGGGGTGCATCTGATAATTTTTAAGTGCCCTAACAAATCCTTTAACCCAATTGGTTTGGTTTGGTTTAAATTTTTGCCTCTGCTTTGATATAATCCAAAATATTTTGAACAAATGATCTTACTCGGAGCACAGTACCAATGAGATCAGAGTCTTCAACCCATTGCAAGCCCTGCCAGCAAAGGGATTTTGCCTCCCATTTACCTTGAAAAGCATTTTCCGCCAGACAGGCCTCTTTTGAGCAACAAAGCAGCTCAGGGATATGCATGCCTCTTTTCTTCCCTACTGACCTTCTTTGAGGTCACTGTAATGACTTTGGAAGATGGGAACAAGGGTCAGATGAGGAAATCCCCTCAGATGAGGAAATCTGCCTTGAACTCATACCTATGCCTATGCCGAGAGCAACGTTGAAAGAAGAGCCCCCATGAAAGTTGGAATGGGTGCACTGGGCCATAGGGTTGCCCTGTTAATCTGCAAAGAGCTTCCTGAATTGTAAGATTGCACCGTATTGCAGATGGGTTTTCCACCATGCTTTTTACCAGCAATTCCTCTTCCCACTTTCATGTTTGTTTCTCTAATGTAGAGAAAGTGTTCTATGAAACTTAAAAGTTACATAGTTATTTTCTAACATTTCATTGATCATAATGAAGTGTTACACCTAGTATTGCTGTTCGGATGTCTAGAATTTTTGTAGCAGAATATTTAGCTATTTTTAATAATCCAACAACAGAGATAAATATAATCTAAAATTATTCATCATATATTGGTTATAAGAGCTTTTAAAGACCTTTTGTTTTACAATCCAGTTCAGAATAAATATACCCTGTCATTACTACAACATTTTGTATCAAAAATGCTATCTATACTAGAATGATGAAAGCAAAATATTAACATAATTCATTAGGAGAAATTTATTAGTATGTTCCAATCCAGAATTTCCAAGAATGCCATCATTAATTTCTATCACAATATGATGCTTCTCATTTGCAAAGTTTCTTTCACTTGCACAGAGAAGCAGCAACCACAAATGGGGATCGGGCATGCCAGGCTGAGCTACAGCACGAGAGACACAGAGCAGGAGGCAAAGTGGTCAAGTTTTCCGCCATTTTTGCCAAGTGTCTCTGTTGTCTTTTAACACAAGCCATCATGCCAGGTACACACATGACAAACCACTCTAAAAGCTGGCCACCCCAAACAACCCAACAGCAAGCCATGGGTTCACTGGGTGCCTTAAACTGTGTCTGGATAGCAAACGACAGGGAAGCTGCCATGCTGACTTCAGACATTATGAATCCCAAGCAAACAAGGCTGACAACACAGAGAGATTTGTCGCATCATCTGAACCAGGTCAGTGGCTCCCTAATGTTATGAGAAGGTGGATGGTGCTTGCTCATTCCTGGAATTACTGCTTCAAAGATAAGAGCCCGAGTTTTAAGATGTAGCTCACAGTTGTTCCTTGTGTTCATTTTTACTTTAGAGTAGGTTTTAATCCTTTCTTCTGATGTGGGCCCAGTCTGCCCCCCACCACCACACGCACACACGGACATAGCAATCTTTTTGCTTTATGGATTGCTTGTTTGCAACAGAAATGTCAGGCATGCTTCCAGACCTGATCCAGATTTGGTCATCTGGTTCTTTAATGTAACTCCTGTATTGGGTTTAGGAAGAGAGTAGAGAAATTAGGCCTTTCATTTTTCACACACCCCTCCTCAAGAATTGACTAGCCTAGCCACAAAGAGAAGTGATGTATTCATTTTATTTATAGCTTGCCTTTTTCCTGCAAGGAACTCAAGGCAATCCTTCTGCTCTCCATTTTGTCCTCCCAACAACCCTGTAAGGTAGGTTAAGGTAAGAGTCACTGGCCAGCCCAAAAGTACTCAGTGAGTTTTGTAATCAAGTGGAGACTAGAGCCCAGATCTCCCAAGACTGTGGCCTGGCACTCTACACACTACTGGCTTCTGCATGATTGTGAGACTTGAGTGTCTATTTGGGGAGGAAGCATATTTCCCAAGGGAATTACTTGTATGAGTGGGCAAGGCTACCAATGAGCACCATGGCAGGTAACAACAACCTTATAGCTAAATATTTAATGTCACTGGGCTTCCACTTGGGTGGAAAGGAGTCCTTTTGCAAACATGACTAGAACTTATTAAAGTATAAATTAGTACGTGTGTATTTAAACTATATATTTTAAATGGAAGAAATACATGGAAATAACATCTGAATACAGGAACTTGGAGTAGCACGATTGGAATTACCCTATCTATTTTTTCAGCATGTGCTTTCATCATTCCTGAACTCCATCAGTATCAATGCACTCATGTCTGATGTTATATACTATATGCAGTAATAACATTGTAACAGGTTCTAGAATGCCATTATCCAAACTAATTTGGTTTATTTTGGTGCTCATTCCTGTCTATTGTTCACATGGTTCGTGCCATTTATTTTGATCCTGCCCAGGACAGTACCTTAAATTAGGTTGCAGAAGCGGTCAAATGTGGCCACCGCCAAATCAATGCCATCGCAATCTCATCTTCAAGCTTCTCTAGGATTAGAATGAGTTCCCTTTTGCCTATTGACAAGGACTGGCATGTGCACCAGAGTAACAGATAGTTTTGATTTCTGTGCACATTCATGCACTGGCGACAGAGAATGCAAAATAAAGGCTGTGCGAATGACATGGATATGCTTCTTTCATTGTTGAAATGTCAGAAATTAGTTATAAGTTGTGCTTGTTGGGAGGAATGAAATCATATCAGTAATGGCCTGTGGCACTGGATTAGCATTAAATCTTTAAATATTTTCCCTAACTTAACTGGCTTTACTATTTTCATACGATGAAAAATGGCGAACAGCATACAATACATAAGCATGATAGGCCGTAGCCAGGGGTGACTTTGCACTGGTGGAAAGCGCTTCCTTTGTGTATGGTGAGTGGGGCACCCAGCATTTCCCAGTCATGCCCCCATCTACTACTATGATTTTCTCAAGCAACCTCCGACTTCCCTGAGCAGTTCCTCAGAGGAGCCAGAGGGGGCGCCAGAGGCACTGGCAGTCAACCAGGCTGAATCCCTGGCCTTGAGCAAGTGGAAGTGCTTCCTGCTTGCACAGAACCATGCTGGATAAAGGCCAGTGCTGACAGCTGCTGGCATGGGCAGGGGATGATCGCTGAGGGAGCCTACATCCTTCAAGAATAGCTGAAATTGTGCAGCTCGTTGCAATGGACTGTGCCTTTCTGGTGATCCTTCTCATGCTATTCACTTGATTTCTGTATTATGAAGAATATTCTCAATTAAGCTGTATGGAAATTTTACCAATTAATAGTTAATCATGCCTGAATGGTTAACTAGGATGGGATTGTTCTTTAAAAGCAGCCAATATCAGAAAGCATATCAGAGGAGAGGGTCACATGTGCCATTACTGCTGATTCTCAAATATCCTTGTTCAAACCGACACCAACCATTTTTTTAAATGGATCTCGTTACCATTTCTGCACAAAAACATTTGACATTTCATTTGGTAAGTAATGCAAAGTTTGTTCAAGTTAGGGATATAGATTGACATGTGGAGGTGTTCCTAGGCGCTTGCTTTTCTGAAAATCTGTTTTTTGGCATGTACATATGCAGTATATACACCACACTTGTGTGCTTAGTCTACATCAAAGTTATATATTTAGAGACAAAGATTTTAAAATGTTTTGTGGGTTTTATTTACAGAAATTAAGTCTTTGCAGCAGCACTGAATGTAGCACAGCTAATGTTGCTTTCCTGGGAGAAGAAGAGGCCGATGCTGCGTCAGAAACTCCATCAGAACCAAAGCCTTGTTTTACTGAAGGTATCAAGGGGGACCATCTTAACCATGGTGGTTGCATGTGTAACAAACTTGTATTTGGTTCAGGCACATCTCTGGTGTTTGCTGGGCCTTCTGCCCTCATTTTGTAGTAATGTTTCCTTACCTTTCTTCTTCTGTTCATGTGTGTTTCTGTGTGTGTGTTTGTGATCTCCCAACAAAGGACAACATTTTGTGGGTCTGACAAAATAGGTCGGGCCAAAAGTAGTAATAGTTGTTGTTTTTTAGTTATAGAACACTTTTGTTCTAAGACAGCTACTTATCAGAAGTGAGTTAACTCTGGGGTATGCGATTGCCTCTTGTAATGATGGAACCATTTAAAAGAATACTTCATGGAAAAGATGCCAAATAAATCTAGGACATATTTGTGGTCAAATACATTTGACCTTGTGACAGTTTAGATTTTGTAGGTGTTTGTTGATTGGTCTTTAAATCCCACATATTCCTTTTCTTAGGACATACCTATATCATAGACTTCAGTGGATTTAATGTGATGTCAAGTTCTGTACTGTAGTTTGATGAAGGACTTGAAAGGTTTCTAACAGAAGTTTCTTTGCATCTTCAGCAAACTACAGTTTCTGGTTTCTTTGAGGAAAGTCATAGCAATTATTGTCCATTTAAATTTGTAGTGTAGAAATGCCCAGAGTCTATACAAAAAGGGAAACCACATTGCTAAGGTATTTGTGGTTATTGGGGTGGGGTGTTGAAAATCATTTGTACTTCGTTTTCCTGCAGCTTTTCAGTGTGCCTAAAATCCAGCTGCAGCCTGGTCAGACTCTTCCTACCAGGAAATTGCTATCTGATCCATAAATTCAAAGTGGGAGTTTCCTTTAAGTTGTTTCTTCAAATGAACAGTTCTGATGAAACATCTATCATGGCCAGAGTCAGCTGCTTGACTTCTCATTCAAGGAAGCCTCACACACTCCTGACAGTTGTGGCTTTTGGCAGGAGGCCATTTTCACCAGTCTTCACTGTAGCTGCTTGTGCCTGCTGTGATCTGCCCAGGAGGATGGGTTGGGGCACTCCTCAGAATGGCAGGTTGCATGGGAGAACGCAAGGAGAAGTGGGGATTGGTGACATTGCCTCCTCCCTTTCTCTTAGGAGGCTGCTCATGCAGAGTCAACCTTGGTCCATCTAGCCCAGTATCATCAACAATGGCTGGCAGTGGCTCTCCAAGAGTTCAGGCCATATTCTCTGTGAGCCCTAGCTGGAGATGCCAACGATCGAAGGTGGGACCCACCATATGCCCTGCTCCTGAGCTATTGAGTCTCTGTTGGATAAATGTAAAGGGCCCTTCCAGTCTCATTTTCAGAATGGCCTCTCTGGATTCAGCTTGTAGGCTGTGGCTGTTAAATTTTATTTCAGAATTCATAAAACTGAAGAATCATAGAATAGTTGAGTTAGACGGGGCTGTGAAGCTCATTGGGTCCAACCCCTTACTGTTGCAGGACACCAGTTTACACCATCCCACTCAGATGGCTGTCCATTTTCGCCTTGAATGTCTAATGTGGGAGAGCCCACCACCTCTCTAGGCAGCTGGTCCCACTGTCCTATTGCTCTGACAGTAAGGAAGCTTTTCCTGATATCTAACCTGAATCTCAGTTTTCATAATTTGAATTCATTATTTTGTGTCCTATGCTCTGGTATCAGTGAGAAGAGATCTTGACCTTCCTCTTTGTGACAGCCTTTGAGATACCTATAGAGGGATATCATGTCTTCTCTTCTCAAGGCTTCTCAGTCTTCTCTTCTCAAGGCTGAACATGCCCAGTTTTCTCAGTCTCTCCTCATAGGGCAGTGTTGCCAAACCCTAGATCAGTTTTGTTGCCCTCCTCTGGACCCTTTCTAAGCAACCAATATTCTGATTTCTAGGTTGTGTTCGGAAATTCAAATGCTGTCAAGTCAGCACAGAATCTGGGAAGGGCAAATGCTGGTGGAACCTTCGTAAAACCTGCTACAGGATAGTGGAGCACAGCTGGTTTGAGACCTTCATTGTCTTCATGATTCTTCTCAGCAGTGGTGCTCTGGTGAGTGCTTCACCTGGTGCAATTACTGCAACTTTCTCTAATAGCACACCCAGATTCTGTACTTTGTGCAATGCAGTACGAGAACTAATTGGAAGAGAATTCTCCGAGGTGGTCTGTTGGCGACATATAGGTACACAAGGGGGTGCCACATGGAGGTGAGTTGTGACCTGTTTTCCCCTGCAGAGGAGGGCAGGACGTGTTCCAATGCAGCAGAGCTCAGGGAGCCAAGGTTCCTGACAATTAGGACCCCAAGGGTATGGAATGGGCTTCCACGGGAGGTGGTTGAAGCCCCATTGGTGAGGGTTCAAGGACAGGCTCAGCATGCACATGAGCGGAGCTGGCTGGAGCCGGGGTCAGACTAGATGGCCTGGGAGACCCCCTCTGACTCGCTCTGTTTCTGTATTTCTATGTTATGATTTGAGTAGGGAGAATTAGACAGGGTGCTTAAACAATAGCCGATGCAGGTCAGACATTAGCCAACTGCTGGAAGGCCTCTCGTCCCAAGGTTCTTCAGCCATGCGTGGAATGCTTGTGCCCCACCAGCTCCTTTTGGCCATGTAGCCTGCTTAACTCTGCCTTTGGAAATCAGTGGGGACAGAGTAGCTCCACTGACTTCCAAAATGGATGGCAAAGTGGCAGGGCAATTCTCACCAAGAATTCAGGCATTCTTGGTGAGTCTGTCCCTGCTCACATCTGCTGGTGAACAAGTTTTTCAGATTCTTATAGCACGTCAGGTTCTTACAATACTAGCAAAACCTGGTTGTTGAGAAACAGCCCTAGAAGCAAAACAGCACCAAAAGATTGTCTCTCTCACATTGCATTCAACACTCTTAAACATTGTCATCTGTCACTACCCATTGCCTGCTTGTCAACCTTTAAGTCCAGTTTCATTTAAGGTACTATTATGGCAAGGACAATTGAGTAGACGGAGTGCGTACTATGTTGCATTAAATAAAGACAGAAGGTACTCCGGTGGAATAGTCAGTTGCAGATATCCAGAGTGCAATATGCATTAATGGAAAACATTTCCTTTAGAAATATCAAACATAACAGAAAGAAGATCTGCCTCCCACTGCCACCGCCCAGTGCCCCCTTCTGCCAATGTGGCCTTAGTTATAGCTGCATTTCCCTTTGCAGGCCTTTGAAGACATATATATAGAGCAGCGGAAGACTATCAAGACCATGCTGGAATACGCTGACAAGGTCTTCACGTACATCTTCATTCTGGAAATGCTTCTGAAGTGGGTGGCTTACGGCTTTCAGGTGTATTTCACCAATGCCTGGTGCTGGCTGGATTTCATGATTGTTGATGTAAGTACCAGTATTGCTAAGCAGCCTTCTTGGTGAGCCCTGCTTCATATATCTCTCCCACTTTTTGTAGATTGTTTTCATTTATTAAGTAACCAAGCATGCACTGACTGAACAGGCATTGCATGCTATTCCACAAAGCAAAGCTGCATAGAAGACCTGTTTGGTCCTGATGCTATAAAGGCTTCCTTGGAGGGATGCTGTGCTTATGGCCTCGTGCAGTGTGTTCAGCGAGAGGAGTGCCACATGAAAACAGAAGATTTATGCCATAACTGTGAGTAGGAATGTGTGGAGGCTCAGTAGAAGCTGTCCCTTTGTCGTAGGGTTGGGACAAAATCTAATGGAAATTCTCCCTAAAGCATTTGCAGAATCCTCATGCTTGGCCCGGTTAAGCCGAATGAGTCAAGCCAAGAGGAAGCCAGCAAACACTCACAGAAGTACGGTTTGCCACTGGCGGCCATCTTCTGCATCAGTTGCAGAGGCCCCAAGGCTGCTTCAGGTGGCCAGAAGAGGGACGCTGCTTGCACCGCAGTTGTGTGAGGCTGCATTCCTGGCAAGCCCTGCATGGACCACCTCCTTCTTCCAGGTCCGATGCAGCTGCACTGCTGCAGGAGGTGTGGAAGAGGGACGGTACTTGGGCAGCGGTCCTGCAGGGCTCCATTCCTGGTGAGCCACATGCAGACAACCTTCTCCCTTGTTAGGTACAGCAGCACAAAAGGGATGCTGCTTGTGCAGAGAGTAATTCCTGGCAAGGATCCCATGAACGCAAGGCACGAACACAAGGCACACTCACTAGGAACTCGGACACCGGGCACGACAGAGTAGACCTGAGGCCCGGGAGCTGAGCCAACAGATTCCCACCCCATGAAGAGATTCCTCTCACATAGCAGGGTCCACGGGCTTCCTCCCGTGCTCAGCCCTGACCTGGAAAGTGAGCCGAGCCAAGAGGATGCCTGCAAACACCTGCGGAATGAGTGTTGCACGTTCGCCCATGTCATCTGTAGCAGCACAAAGACTCACGCCCTCCATCAGGACCTCCATCCGCTGGGCTGCAATAGTCGGCTGGCCGTCCCCTCCACCACAACCTGCCAAGTGCCTCTTTTCAAGGGCTCTCCACCGCTACGTGTTCATCTTCACTTGTGTACTCGTGGTTCCATAGATGTGTGGGGGGCGGGGGCATACTGTGTCTTGACAAGGGAGCAGTCTCCCCTTCCATAGCTCGTATTTGCTTGCTGCCATTATGTATTCAGCTCCTGAAGGAAGCTGGCCTCCAGCATGCTATCAGTGGCTACTGGCCTTGCTGGCCATGTACTGCCTCCATTATCGGAGGCAGCATGTCTGTGTATCCCAGTTGCTATGAGCAGCTTAGGTCATCCTGCTTCAGGGATCCTCTGGGCAGCTGGTTTTCTGCCCTCTGAACAGAGTGCCGGACTGGAAGGACCATCTGATCCAGCATGGCTTTGCTTATGCCCAGCTGCAGATTGGTGTATCACATGACATCACACTGCGTTTCCGCCCCACCTTTTTCTTCTTGCAAGGAACCCAGGGCAGCTTGCACAGGTGTATGACAGCTTTCCTCAACACGGTGCACTCTGTGTGTATTGAACTGCAACTCCCATCAGGATGGTTGTAGTCCAGCTTGTGCAGAGGGTGCCATTTTGTGACAGGCTGGAGCATGGCACTGCTCAGTGGCTATATATGTGGTGCTGCAGTTCTTAGTATTGTGCCCAGTCATGGAATTCATTCTGTCTTCATTAGTGAAGACAAAATTAATTCAATTGAATGTTTCAATTGGTTAAAAAACAGCTGATTAATTTGGGCAGTTAGGAAACAATAAATTGGTTAGGATTTGTGGAGTCTCAGTTCAACAAGAATACCATCTATGATGATGCACCAAAAACAAACAGATACTGCATTATAATTCACCAGCCTATACCAATCTAGTGCCCCCCAGGTGTGCTGAACTACAAGCCTCATACCCCCCAGCTAGCATGGCTGACCGGCCAGAATAGACTTGAGTATACCTGATACAGCCAGCTTACTGAAGCTAAGAAGGCTTTGCTTTGTGAGATGAGTTTAAGTTCTTTATCCTCCAAAGTATACCCAGTAAATGCAATCACCACAGAATCTGTCTTTGAACATGCACAGAGTGGCTCATTGATCTCAATTTAAGCTACTACTTCTAGAAACCCTCCTTTTGCATATCCCTTCTGAAAGGCCCTTTTGGAGGTGAGCACACCTTTTCTCTGTACGCCAACCCTCTAGGTCAGGGGTCGGCAACCTTTACCACTCAAAGAGCCATTTGGATCCGTTTCCCACACAAAAGAAAACACTGGGAGCCGCAAAACCCTTTTGACATCTAAAATGAAGATAACACTGCATATATCAGTTTTTACCTTAATGTTATGTACATCTTCATTATGATTTAGCTGCAGTTCTTGTTCAGTCACTAAAAACGGTTATTTTTAATCTTACATTATAAACTAGTAGGACCCCTTTTATATATTTTGAATAGGAGAACAGCTTCCTGAAGAGTCAAAGTCAGTGCTAAAGGGCTGCATGCATTAAACAGCAAACCCCATAAGTTCGTCAGCAGTAAAAGCAAATGAATCTACCTACATACCATTAAACATTTGGTTTTCTTCAGAAACTTTTCTTTTCTTCAATTTATCCATGGTTGGCCTACGGGGGTGGGGCGGGTGGCTCAGTAAATCGGCGCAGGTCCAGACCGGCGGGGCTGTGCCGGAGATATAGGTGTGTTTAGTGACTGATTAGCAGATAAACAGTCAAGTGCTGTGAATTGTGACAGGTCCCAAGCGCAGCTTTTAACATTCAGATGAAGCAGATTACATTGGGACAAAGAGAATCCTTTCAGCAGCGTTTCATGTAACATGAGAGCCTGCAGGAAGCTTGTTTAGCAGAGGAATGTAGCGATTTACTTAACTAGCTGATTTACTTAACTAGCTAGCCCTGCATTCCTGACTGGAGCTTCGAGCAGATCAGCGGCTGTGCCGGCGCATGTTTTGAGCGACGGAGCCGCAGCAGAGGGGTTCAAGAGCCACGTGCGGCTCCGGAGCCACGGGTTGCCAACCCCTGCTCTAGGTGACTAGCTGTCCTCTCCCGACGCCATGCCAGGGGGTCAAGAGTCATCCCAGCTTCATCTGACTGTGGGCTCCTTTCCCATGCCCCCTGTATGTCTTGGATATTCCCAGAGCCTGCCCAAGCACTTGGGAAGGGTGGCCTTGAGATAAGCACCTCCACTTCGCTCATCTCAAAGCCTGGGGCCCTTCCTCCCAGGCCCCCTCTGCCTCCTCCTCTTCATCGTCTGGCTCGGAGACCAGATTGGCATGGCCCAGGAATGTCGCCCTAGAACAACTGCCCCCTTTGCAACAGGACACTGCTCTTCCCAGTTTATTCTATAATGGCAATTTCCATAGTTCGGTAAATGTAACCATTCTTGTTTCTGGGTAGGTTTCCATCGTGAGTTTGATAGCGAATGCCTTGGACTATTCTGAACTTGGTCCTATTAAGTCACTTCGGACACTGAGAGCTTTGAGACCTCTAAGAGCCTTGTCAAGATTCGAAGGAATGAGGGTAAGATACACTTTGAACAAAAATCCAGGATCTCACCAGTGAAAACCGGTTGCAACATACCTGTGAGGTGTTTGTTTATTGGGCATAACGGTGTGCTTTTGCTTTGGTACTGACAAGTACATTCCTTACAAGGGAATAGTAACGGTAGAGAATAGTAATGTCATGGCAGGATTGCTCATGGTAACAGTACAGCCAAGCTGTACATAACTCGATGTGGGAAGTACATTTGTGGTGGCACATCTGTGGCCAATAATCACTATCATTGCAACTGTCCCTGATTTTGCATTACTGCATGCATTGGCCCTCCTCCTCCTCACAGCCACCCCGCGTGGTAAAATAGGCTGAGTGATCACGACTTGCCCACAGTGCCCTTGTAAGCTTTTTGGCTGAGAAAGGATTTGAGCTTCCGCCACCCTGTCAGCAATCTAACTCATGCTGTGGGTGATCCATGGTGCCCTCCAGATGTTGTAGACTGCAGCTCCCACAATCCTTGGCTGTTGGCAATGCTGCTGTTGTCTTACGAGAGTTGCAATCCAAAACATCTGGAGAGCATCAGCTTAGGGAGGGCTACTGCATAGACATTAGTACAGATTCTTAAGGTGTTTCACAGGTTTCAGGAATAAGCGTTTTGTGGCAGCTCTCTTGTCTGAAACTGCAGTTTCTGATGACCCTTTACAGCAATTCAACCAGGACTGAATGGGGTTACCCCCCTCCAAAGACTCCGGCTCACAGTTTGAATGTACTCTCGGACTTGACTCTGAACCTGGATGTCCAGATTTTGGTGGTGGCCGGGAGTGCATTAGCACAGCTGAGGCTAGTTCACCACCAGTACCAGTTCCTGGAGATGTCTGCTCTGTCCACAGTTACACGTGCCTTAGCTACATCCCACACGGACTACAGCAATGAGTTCTGTATGGAGCTGGTTACAGGGAACACATGGCTCTCATTGCAACAGCTTCATGGGCTACCTGACTGGTTCCCAAGACTTCCTGTAGAGACCCCTTTTTTCAAGATGGCCGTCCTCAGAGGCATGTTTAGTGACAACCTAAGGAGGTCTTTTTGGTGGCCACTCCCAGAGTGGGGAACTGTCTCCCAAGAGAGGCTAAGTTTGCATCCCCTCTGCTCTCCTTTCATTGTCAAGCAAAGACATTTTTTATTTAATATGGCCTTTATTAAATGGGTCTGGAGGGTTGGGTGCCGGTTTTAATAAGATGTTCTATGTTTTACTGTATTTTAATGTATTGTTTTGACCAATTCTACTTGGTTTGATTGTATGTTGAAAACCAATTTTTGGTAGAAAGGTGGATTATATTCACCTTTCTACCAAAAATTATATTCATCAATTATATTCAAGAAATTTTGCAATGGTGATAGTAAATGATGGTATAACAGACCAAATATCCCTAGGCTGAGGTACTAGACAGGGTTGCCCTCTTTCTTCAATACTGTTTGCTTTAATTATTTGAGAATAAAATTAAAATTAGCCTATTTGCAGATGATATATTATTAACAATAAAGGATCCAATTAAGGTTATGGACCAGATTAAAATACATTTAATAGATTTGGAAAAATAACGGGTTTACAAATAAATTGGAACAAATCATAGAAGATGTTATTTAATTGCAATAAAGTAGAAACAGATGAAATTAAGAGCAAGTTAGATGTAAAATTATTACATATTTGGGTGTAAATATTACAAAAATTTGCAATGTTTAAAAGAGAAAAATTTTGATAAGTTAAAATATGAAATGAATGAGAAAATGAATGAATTTAGAAAGAAGGTTTGGTAGAATAGTGGTTTTTAAAAGGTTTTTTATCATGGTTTGGTAGAATAGTGGCATTTAAAATGAAGATTTTACCTAAGATTAATTCCTTGCTTATGATGATACCACTTAAATTAACAGAGAAAGATTTGAAAGAATGGCAAAACATGATTAATAAATGTTGCAATAAGGATAAAAAAGCAAGAATTAATAAAATAAGATGGTATATGCC